AAAATGTAAAACTGTAATTATAATTAGCCATAATGCATTTTCTTCTGCCTCCTCCACTGGCTTTTCCCAAAGGCTAAGTGGGGAGCACAGACTTACCAGTACTGGAGACGCGCGAGACGGGCGAAAAATGACGTAATTTAGACGTATACCTTAAAATGCGAAGCAGCGCCAAGATCCTTGTTCTTGACCAAACAAATACAACAAATTACTGGAAGTGCGTTTTGAATTTACTTTCATCCTGAGTAGCAAATCCACCATGGCTGTTTTTTAGACTAATCATGGCCCGTACTCAAATCCTAATACACGGGCGCGACTTCGGACATCACACAACAGTAGGAATCTCACCAAAATCGCTTGTAGCAATGACCACAGGTACCCCAAGCTCACGAAAGAGGATCGTTGTTGCATAACAGAAATATTATGAGGGTTTCTACTGAGATTTAAGCGATCGTTATGAAGGGTGAAAAATAGTAATAAAAATACATCAGAATTCCTTACCTTGTCTCCTTGTCTAAAAATATTGTGTTTTCTTAGAATATTTGGCCGTTTCAGGTTGATTCCAGCGAGTTTTAGTTCTGCCGTTGACGGCTTATAATATTTCTTTTGTGAAACAAGGATTCTCACTCGTGAGCTTGGGGTACTGCGCACATATCACTAGAAGTGACTAACAGATAAGAACGGAAACAAGGGACGAAATAATTGTGAGCCATGTTTTAAGTCACCAATAAATTGTCCGTCTTACCCCATTTTTCGTAAGAGAAGGAACAACAATTTTTGTCACTTCCATCGAAAAATTTAACAGTGAGCGGGGAGCGATTTTCCACTGTCAGAAGACTCCTACTACCGTCACATGCCCGCATGCTTGCAAGGTAGTTACGGAATACGTCATGAACTTGCATATAGATAAAGTGTGAGAGCGGATCGAAGTGTAATGATAAAAACCTCTTTCTGAAGATCTCAAATTGGAGACAATCAGCGGCGCGCCCGGCACTTTTTTTTCCCTTAAGTTTCTGTTTTCCTAAAGGATGTATTCGTTCATTTATTGTTTGTTCGAGGTGAAAGCTAGTCATATTTTATGCACCAATTAAGACTAGAAGCTCTATTCAGACAACAGCAGTTGTCTCGTCCCTGTACGTCTCTTTATCAGGTTCAATATATGAAAAAATTTATTATCCTGGGAAGTTTCGGCTGCTGATCTTTGTTTTGAGCTTCAACATAATTTATTACGTTTCTTTTTAACGTTTTATGCTTGAACGGATCTAATATACCTTTCAACTCCTGAAATCACGGGTACGCCTTTCGGGTGGAGCGCCTCCGTGTTATAGGGATTACTCCACGGGAATGAATTCGCATGGAAGGTTATAAACCCTTGTGTCTTTTCTTTCTGCAGCTGGACAACGACAGATGAGCATTCGCACGTAGAAGTATTGTTTTGAATGCCAGTCCATTTAACAAAATAAAACAACAATTTGTCATTGTCTAGTTACTACTTAGACGACAAGTTCACATTTTCTATGAGTCAACAGTAGTTCATGAGCTCTAGGCGCGTTGCGCTGAGTTGACTATTAATTTTGACTCTTTAGCTTAGAGACGAGAAGAAGTAGTCTAATGGAAAGTCTAATTGTAGTTTTAGTGGAAGACAGACGGTATCTACTTTCTTCGATCCCATATCAAGTTGTGATAAAGATTAAGGGATTTAGGGGTTGACCGAGAGGACCACATGGCCACGTGTTTTTTTTCTGAAATTTCGTATCATTTTAAAAGAATCCTCAGTAAAATAAAGTTTACTTGATTTGGATCCAGGAAATTGTAGTTTTTCTTTTTGTTACTATTTAAAATAGTTATTCTGTATTTTTGGCAATTTTTAGCTTTTTGTTTCCAGATGGGATGGCATCATTACTTCATTCACCTTTCTCTTGCTCAGAAACTTTGCATGGACAAATTTGTCAAAGAAGTTGCCATTACTTTGCTTTTCATCAAAACGGTGGCTTGGTCCAGCCTAAACCCTTGGTTAAAATATCCCAAGATTATAAACAGTGATTTTTTTTCTGGCCTTTTCACCACTCCAAAACATCGTCATCATTATTTTGGGGCCTGTTTTGAGCAAAAACAAGAAAACGAAAAAAAAAAAAAATTAATAATAATAAAGGTTGTCAAGAAATCATAGGCTTAATCCTCTTTGGAAAAAATCCAAAGATCACCGCCACACATCGAAATGTTGTGGTGTAATGTCACCGCATCGGAAAAACACATTTTCTTTTCATTTTAATTTCTTGCGTTACTGCGCGTAGAATGGCGCGCACCCTGGTACACTGTGTATGTGCGTGGATGGTCGCGTGGATGGTCATGCGCAATTATCAGGGTTTGGTAAGATCCAACGGCAACGATAACGTCGCTTAAAAAGTGAATTTGCGTTCTTTCAGTCCTTATCGCAATTATTCCTACCCATTTACTTTGTCAAATGTACAGTGTAGGCGAACCCTCCTGGAGCTGAATTCCTAGGGACCATATCCTAGCCTGCGAAAACAGCTTTTTCTCCCCGCTCTTCGCCGCTGGAGACATAGGCGTACGGGCTATTTTTTGCCAGGGGGGGCGGTAAACCATTTGCCCAAAACATTTTTGCAAGTTGCCCAAATTTTTACAAAACAGTTGAACAGAAACGAGGGCCGATGCAACAACATAGGCCGTACTGGTATATGAAAATGGCTCCATACAGTTTTTCAGTGTCATTCCCTGCCAAGTTTGAGCATAAACTACGTCGCCATAAACAAACATTTGGAAAAATTACCACCACAGTTGTATTAGATAAAGGTGAAAATTTGTTGTGATTAGGGTTGCAATGACATCGGAGTTGTTATAGCAACGAGATGAAGCCATTACCTATTTATACTTGCAGCAATATTTCTCTCTGGGAACTTGTCTTCTAAAATCGATCACAGGAGCTTGTTCGTGGAGTTAAAACGGAATCTGTAAGAGCGTTATCGAGATATTTTGGGATAAAGTTTTTATCGTTGGAAATACGGTAAAAAAAGGAAAATCTTGATGTTTGGCCGTTACCAGTAGAAAACGATGCGCTTTTGACATGCAATTTCACTTCATAGTAGTTTTAATCTTTTTAAAACCGTGGGTGATAGATGATGGAGATAGCTCTGGCCAATTGCTACAAAGAAGGATTTGATTAGTATGTATCATGGCGCTCCTTGTTAGCGGTTTTGTAAACATTTCAGTCTACTTTAACAAATTATTGAATAATTTTTAAACCGCTCGATAGACTTTTTAAAAAAATCAAGATTCTTCTCGCAATTCAAACTGAGAATTAGTCAGCCGCTTCTTCACTTTAAGACCCATTGCTGATGCTATCTGCCATACAGTGTTCTGCGAGCGGAGATGATTCTAGAAAGTTAGACGGAAGTCTATTCTAATCAATTCACGACTGGAAATAGCCCATTGCAGTACAGTGCCCAACAATAAAAAAAATCAGCATATGATACCTTTCCTTTATAACCAAAAATTCGTCACGTGCTAGGCAGACACTGTCTCGTGTCGATGTAACTGGATTATTACGCCGACTTCAGGTTAAAATAGAAAATATTTATCTCTTCAAAATAATAATAAAAACATGGAGACGTCTTTAAAATCTGGCTTCGCCCAAATTTTCTCGTGCTGCCCAAAAAATCTGAGTTGCCCAAAATTTGTGGGGGCTGCAGCCCCCCTCGCCCCCCCGGCCCGTACGCCTATGGCTGGAGACGCTTTGCGCGGAGGTTATTCCTCGCGAAACGTCTTCAGTGGCGAAGAGCGAGGAGAAACGGTCATGTAGCAGCTGCTCGGAAGAGAAGTCACCGATGGTCTACATGTAACCCTGCTACTGAAAAAATTGAAAGAATGACAACCGAAATTAAGGCATTTTCACGTCTTAGTCGCCAAAAGAGTCGCCAGTTTCAATATCCGGGTTTCGATAAAACCCATAATGGATCATATGGCCATAAATAAGCTTGGAAACCATGCAGGAAAGAAGAAATACACAAATGTGGTTAAATCCTTTCACATTCGTAGGCTACAGAAACAGCTGTGTTTTCTCCCATAAAAATCCTTGCATTTTCGGAACGTTACGCAGTAGTGCCGATGATCTCATCTTGAGCTTGGGCCATATTCCTCGCGCGCACCCGAGAACCAGACCCTGCGGATAGCCTTCGTACATGTAGTCCACCATTTTTCCTCAGGATAGTAGATAGAGCGAGCGAAACGCGAGCGCGCGTGAAAATCACCCCACGCGAGAAAGGCGAGACGCGGCTCATTTTTCTCTCTCCCCGTCGTGTGTCGCCTTTTCTCGCGTGGGGTGATTATCACGCGCGCTCGCATTTCGCTTGCTCTACTGTCCCTGAGGACAAATAGGGGACTACTCGTAGTCTAATTTAGTATGATCCGTATTCGATCATTATACGTTTCTGGGTAACCGCTCAACTACCCCTCCCCTAAGCCAACACTTCCTTCTCACTTAAGGCAAAATGTTGGCTTAGGGGAGGGGTAGCTGGGCAGTTTCCCAGAAACGTATAATCCGCACATTCTTCAAAGGATTTAGCGAGAATGTCGAGTTCCTGGGTGCCCCACGGTCGAGGCGGGGAAACAAGTTATTCCATGCAAGAATTTTTGTCATTTTGTCATCAGGAGAGTGCTTAATGAAAAAACGTAAAAAGAAGCTTTAAGGTTAAATTTTTAACTCAAATATTATGCTCATAGTCAGTCGTCCTTATGGTCTCTAATCTTTTTCCAGTTGTGCATAAAAAATATCCATAGAGAAAATAAAGAAAAATTCTTGCAATACATTGGATGAAATAAACCGTGCTTATGGCTTGGTAACTGCAAAGAGGATTCAACTGTTTAAAATATTGTATAATCAGCAAAACCCACAAGATGATGGAATAATATGCCGTATATTAAACAAATAATCACAACCGCACACAACAATGTAGAAAGAGCAATTATAATTCTTATAAAGCTACCTGTCATTGATTTTAAAAAAAATGTATACATGACAAAATGTAACATATAAATAGCTATTTTAAATACATCTCTTAGATATACACCCTTAGCAATGATCTACTGCTGGTGTAAGAGAGAAAACCGCTTAACTTTTCAATAAGACACTGCATCTAATTCTTTGCCTGTCACCATGTTACTAGAGGCCAATGACTGCTGGTCAATGAAGTTTTATTAAAAGAACTGGTGGTGTGCATAGCCACATCAATTCGACACTTTAGAAAATACCATAGTCAAAATTTTGTCCCCTCTGCCCGCTACGATAAAGCCAAGAGCTTGACGGATTTAAGAGAAAAGACGGACTGCAAGCAGTCTATCTACAGTGTATTCCACTGGCCCTGGTTTTTCAACTGTTGGATAACACTATCCACTCGATATATATCTATCCACTGGATAATGCAATTGGTTTCCCTAATACTTATCTGGTGGATAGCATTATCCAATGTTTGAACAACCAGGGCCTCATTTTTAAGGCATTCTTGTACTCAATACATCTCACAGACATTTAATTGACTATCTTCTTGATCCCATGAGCGTGTATTGGATCTGAGATAATAAATAGCCACAAGGCACATAGTGCCAACTTGGCTATTATCATTTATATCCACCAAGCACAAGTAAAGTAATTACTTCATATAAAACACTAACTGGACGCACTAATAAAACTCTATTTTGTAAAAGAGAAACAGGAAGAGACAAAGGCCTAAAAACGGTGACATCTGTTTTCTGTGCCTTGTTTTTGATACTAGGCCAGTATCCAGCCATCTTGAATAGAGCTATCCAGCGGATTAATCGCTATCCAATGGATATTAGTTTCTTATGAAACTAATAATAATTGCATTATCCAGTGGATAGTGCTATCCAACTTTTGAGCAATTGGGACCTGGTCAATTGTCGATTAATATTATTTCGCAAAAAAGAGAACTTTTACTTTTGGAACCAAAGTGGGAAATCCTAAGTGGGCAAGATGGGCTTATCATGCCTTCTTGGGTATCCAATCAAAACAGAGGATTCACTTCACCTTGCTCGCTTGTGGGTTTAGCCACATAAAATGACGTTAAAACAATACATGTAGCTCATACATGTATGTACAGGTCAAATTACAAGACACACGTTAATTTTTAAGGGCAACGGTACTTTTTAAGTAGGCTTAACTGCTACAAATTGTGTACTGAAGAAAATAACTGCCTTCTTCAACTGCATACTTGTCATATCACTGTAATAATAACCACTTTGCTACTCTGCAAGTACACAACAACTGCAAATACAATAAATTTTTACAAACTACAGCTCAGTCTTGGTGGTTACTTTGTCCATTAAGGTTGAATGCATTTTCTTTACCTGAACACAAAAAGGAAACCAAGTTAGTAAAATTTAATGCAATCACATTACAAATAATAAACGTACATATAAAGGACTAATTTCAAGAGTGTTCTTAGACGCTGATTGGAGAAAGTAGTGATGAGCTAAACGTTTTGAGCCTCCACCAAACAACATCAAGAAATACTACGTATACCTCCTTGGAGTATAAATATTATGGAGTTTCAGCATTAACATATACGATGGCGACGGCAGTAAAAATGACACAAAAAAGTGAATTTGTGCTTCTTCAAACTCTTTAGCTCTTATTCTATCTCACTAAGTTATCAAATGTTGGCAAATTTCCTGAATTTGGTTTCTACAGGACTTACCTTAGTTCAGAAAATGAAAAATTAAGTTTTCTTTTGTTCACACCCTTCACAAAATGTGAAATTAGGAAGTTTCACATTGAAGTATTGCCGCAAAAGCAAAGAAATTACAAAAGACATATGCATATGCAGAGTTGTTTGACCAAACTAAACCTATTCCTTTTTTGCCGTTTTCCTTGTTATTGCCATAGTTGTTGCTAAAACTCACCATTATTTTTGCTGAGGCTACATGTACCTGCACCCCATTTAAGAGCCATAAAATAAATTATTAGCCATAAGAAAAGTCCTTACCCATCGGCCATGCTCCTTGGCCTTTTTTAATAGTGAGTCATGTTTGTCTTGAAGATGCTGATGTCCATCCTTCAAAAGACGTTTAGAATCCCTGACTTCCTCTTCAAAATGCTTGTGTTTAAGTATCTTGTGATCAAAGTGATGCAGTTCATTCTGAGTAGATAATAAAATTCAGATTTCTAAGCACTACAATGAACAATTTATTATTGGACAAGGTTTTTGTGACATCTGGAATAATCAGGGTTGTGGTGAGGGTAAATGGCCGATGCTGATAATACATGTACTTACCAAGACCTTGATTACTCAACATTGACATGACTGTCACAAAGTAAATCTTATTATACATTGTATTGGAGAAAATAATGACATTCATACTGTTGCATGGAAGTACACAATTTGACATTGCTCTCGGAAATAATGCACTGTGTGTGTAAAATAGTTATCAGTTATCTGCTAGTATCTACATGTGTAATAATATTATTACTAGTCCATAGGTTGTGCTAATTTCCATTATTATACATACAGTTAATTAATTTTTGGAAACCTACCCAACCTACAATTAGTTAGTTATCTGCTAGCAACTAAGTGGCTGATGTGTAGGTTGCACATGTGATGCATGATTTCCAAGAGCAATGTCAAGTTGTGTTCCATGCAATGCTTTGTTTGTCCCCATTTTCATTTAAACAATGTATATTAAAACAATATTATTAGATTTGGTTTTAGTGATATCCGCAAACAATCAAGGTCTCAGTAAGTGTTATCAGCTTTAACCTTTGACTCAGTTAATACAATATAACACTTACCTCGACCCTGATCATTCCAGATATCACAAAAACCTCATCCAATAATTGTTTAAAATTATAGCAGGCTCTATGCTAGCGAGAAGACATGGAAAGTGGGTGTAATGTGTAGTAGAAAGAATAACTGGCATAATTGGCACAAAAGATGAAGGATGATGGCATATCATTTCTTTATGTGGTTCTACTGGGGAACTTCTTAAGGTTTTTCATTAGAAAACTGGGTGACCAGAATTACTGTACATGAAATAAGAACACTGAAGCCTAAAACATACAGGTTACACGTGGCAATGCCGCTAAATCCAAAATAAGAGCTTTGCTCAAAGATTATAGTATATCCAGGAACAGACTGTACATTAAATCTCCTTTTATTAAAATATTACTACATGTACTTGTATAAATTATGGTACAAGTCAAAATTAAATTCAGGTAAAAAAATTTTAACCTACAGCTGTAGTCCTTTGTGTCCTAACGCTGATTGTTCATGAATTAGTGCTAGGAGACAAAGAAAATTGAGAACCAACCTAGGTTTAAAAATCTTAATCTGAATATAATTTTGACCTGTAACATAAATTATACGTATGCTGCTTGTAATTCTTCATTCTTGCTGCTGCTATGCTCACCGACCATTATTATCAATTTATTCTGAAATTGTACGGGACCCAGAGTCCTGCTGTCATACAATCGAACCTCCCGTAAGCGACCACCTTAAATCACAAAGACTAAATGGTCACTTACGGGAGGTGGTCGTTTACAAGAATCAAACCACAGGGCGCCTTTTTGAGAAGAGGTCCAGGCACATCTACTTTATAGAAGATAATTTATTGCATGGAATGTGTAAGTTACGACATGAGTAGTTCCATGTTGTCACTGAAGTTCTTCATATATTCTAATTAGCATAGTGCACACAGTGAACAAAGAGATCAGAGAATGTATCAAGAGGTTACTTAAAAGAGGTGCAAAGCAGCCGGGCAAAGTCGCATTCACAGCCGGTCACTTTGCCTGGTGCCCAGCCCTTAATGAAACCCCTGACACCTTTTTTAAAATCTGTAATGCATAAAACCAACAGTGTGGTCTTAGTCAGACTAAGAACAAGGAATTCAGTACATGTAGATTCAGAATAGTATGAAACTTTATTCATACTAGAGTAAATTGAACATGTATAAGACTGAAATAATAAATTATCCAATTTCAGTGAAGAATCACTTTACCTTAAAAGATTCCAGTTCATCTTCACTAATCCCGCCATTATTAGCTCTTTCCCATAGTTCATTTACACGAGGATCTCGGAACAACTTCTCCTCTTTCTCCCCTGTCACTTTCTCCTTCAACCTGGCAAAGTTTTTAGTCAGTGTTTCATGAGTATCTTGAAGTTTGACATGTAAGTTTTCAACATCATTGTCTTTCATTATCCCTTGAGAGTAAACAGAGTTTTCAGAGAGACCACCCTGGTCCTCTAAAATGTTTAAAAGATGTTTGTATTCTTTCAGCTTCTCTCTGTGGTGGTTAAATTCGGTTTCAAGATCATCAAGCTCATCGGCACTGAATTTTCCTAAAAACAAAAATTATAAATTAAGTTAACAACTACAAAGAGAGTAAGAAAATAGGCTATGTTTATCATAAACAGAATCACATATTAATAACATAATTAATAACTTAAACTGCGAAATGTATAATAATAATCATCAGAATTTTATTACTAATAACACACAAGTTCTTATATGTATACATATGCATATGATCAAATGCGCGTATATTTAACTATCCAGAATATTACAAAACAAATCCAGTGAATTGTGGATAGTAGTACCCAGAGTTAAAGAACTTCAGTTGGGAAGTGCTAGAGAAACCACTCCATGGTTTAATTTCTGCCTTTCTCTGCATGGACTTGCAGACCCACCATGGTAAAAGGTTTCAGTTCTATAAGCATATCAGTGCTGTGTCCTAGATTTTCACTAACAGGTGACTACAGAATCTTAGTTTTTTCGTATAAGTCATAATAATTATTCTGGGCACCCTAGATTTTACAGTTGCAAATCACTGGGCTCCCTTCAGTTTTCCTTGGAGTGCAGATTGACTTGCATATAATTAAAGCAAGTTGAAAACATGGTTACATGTCAAATTGAACCAGGCATTATTGTTTCACTTTTCTGTGGCTCCAGTTGGAGCTGGGGGTATGCGATTTACTGACTTCCTGTTTCAGAACCACCCGCTGTGGCCTTATACTCAGCCTTTTCCAATAACTGCTAAATACTTAAGATATAAAACCCTACCACTGTAGCATAATATTTTAGATTTGAAACAATAGACAGATTTACAGTGTGGGCTTTTCACCCAAGCCTTTGAGCTAATGTGAAGCAGAGGCCTAGGTTGACCTTGTTTTGAATGAGACGTTACAGAGAGAGTAAGCGACTCCAAGTCTGCAATTCAGGCTACCTTCTGTTCTTATTGCAATTATACTGAAAACAAATTAGTGCTAGTTAGGATAAGAACCGTATGATATTACATATTAAAGAAGGAAGTGTTGTGTCAAACCCCAACCTCGTTCCACGTACAACTGTAAAACTAGCTATTCATTGTTTTAAAATTAATTTAAAAATCATCTTAGCACAATCTTAGAAAATTTTATTATTATGCGGACCCTTAAATATCTTCATAGTATTACTTAGATACTTAAAGAAAGTTCATTAATTCATTCGTGATCAAACCAGGAGTAGGAGGAGCTGTAGTGTACACAAACCTTCCTTTTGGACAGACTCCCACAACTCGTTTAAGCGTTTGTCGCCATGTCCCGCTGTGTTGTCCTTGATTTCGTTCCCATCGTCAACTAGGTGATCCAAGCCAAATCGTTCCAGCAAACGAGAAAATTTGCGCCTTAGCATCGCTTCCATTTCACCATCTTCGTCTCCACCGTTGGCTTTTAATTCTTTCCACCTGATTTCTGCTCGGTCTTGCAGCTCGAGGAATCGACGAAACTCACTCAATTTTCGTTCTGACATTTTGTTTTGAGCCTTTTTCCATATCATGTTGAGCTTCTTTATTCGAAAAGGATTCTCGTCATCACCGTTAAGCTTACCAAAACAGCCCTGGAAGACCACAAAAATCACAAACAACCACGACAATACTTCCAACGACGCCATTTTGCAAACTGCGAAAAAAGCCAGGCGTGCATCACTGCCGACACGCACTTTTAAGGTAGGGCGCGAGGCTCGTGTCACGCGCGTCGCAACAAGACCGCAGGGTCATGTGGGTAGGCATCTACCTAAAGGAGTCCGATGATTTGTAAATTTTGCAGACATAAATTTGTTATTTGCCTATTTAGTTTACACTCTTCTTTTTAAGAAGCAGGTTATCACTGTCCTGACCTGATGCATCCAAGAATCAGTAATTTTGAGTTTTGGCTAGGACTGAACAATACCATTTGAACCGGGGCGATTTGAGCCTAAAAAAGTCCCTTAATATGAGATGTTCTTAATTACACGTCGCAAAAATGGAGTTAGAAGGTCAGCACGACTTACAGCTCATGCTTTGAGGGTCCAGGCATTTATGGCATTTAGTGTTTTGGCTCGTTATTGCTCATGTTGAAAGTGTTCGAACCAGAAGTTCCTGCTGGAACACAATGTTCTTGTACAATGTTCCTATGTTCGAAACTGAACCTGGTCGAACCTCAGCCTAGGGTACCATAAAACTCCGAAAATAGCCCGGTGCCTATATTTTGAAAAAGGTTCTTTTAAAAAGGCTTGAATTACAAGACAAACATTCTCCCGAAAAAAGAAAACTCGTATTACTTACGTTAAGTACATTAAAACACTCAGTACGGCACACTGTGCAATATTGAACACTCACCGAGTCTCCTTCGCTATTGGGCGACGGGTGAGAAGGGAGAAGTCACTTTAAATTGCTTTGCATTTGTTTTGTCTGCGAACCTTTCACATTAAGATGATGAGCTTCGACACTCCTCCCTCATAAATCAACAAGACATATGCAAAATAGAAAAATATTCACTCAATTGAGATTACAGTAAGTCACGCTCAAACAGTCAATCACTCGAGTTTGACTTGACTAGTCAGATCCACAAATCTGTTGCTAAACTCGAGCGATACCGAGCTTCTGACGATCTAGTGATACCAGGATAAACTTATGACAGTCAAGTTTATCATCATTTGTGCAGTTTGCTTGAAGCAGAGGTCCACTTTGTCAATTTAAGGCTACATTCCAGCGTTCCCGAGAAGCCAGCTGCGTGTCGCGTGCTGCACGCGTTTCTAATCTGTATCTACAAACTTGCCGTTTATAATCTCCAGTCAGCAATGAAGTTAACAGCAGTTGCTTTGATAACCATTGCTACATTTCTTCTTCATTCCGTGGTGAGTCTTTCAATGGCGCTGTAGAGTTAATTTTAATATATTTGCCACCATTCTTTATTCTGTGAAAACGCTTGTCAATGCTTCCGCTTTCCTTGATTTATTAAGTCGACTAGCAATACAGTTTTATGAGAATTCGTACGGCTTTTCCGGCCTTTTGATTACCCATAGACCATATGTTTTGTTCAGTATTAAAACAGCCTAACCAACGATCAGCTATCAAAAAAGCAAGCTGTTTCATTGTTACGTCGCAAATCAAAACGTCAGTGTTTCAAAAAGTAATACAAAAGTGGATGTTGATTTACATCAAACAAAATTTGCAAGCTCCTTTTTTAGATTAAAAAGTTTCAACAGATCAGTTTGCTTTAACAGTATTTTCGATTCACTAAAGAATAACAACACAGAGATGAGACTTGATGAACAAAGTGCATTAATTGTTTATGATTTACCTATAGATTTGCAAAAGTCGACAACAGTCTTGAATCAAAATTATCAACGGGGGTTTAAATATTTCGCTCAATGGATGCTGTGTTACTTGTTTAGTTGAATCGAAACAAAGAAGGAAACTAAGGGCTGCTATAAAGGTTCCTTGACTACTTGTGATATAACAACTGAAGATGAATTCTATTTCTCGAAGAGCACTGAGTAATTTTTACAGTTTTGCGAGAAAAAAATGTCAAACGTCGAAATTTGCATAAGTAATGTCTGCGGGCTGGTTATAGAAAATGTATTATGCAGATGAAAACAGAAACGCTTTCAGAGTCTGATTTTAGACAAAGCCCTTTTTATTTTTCGCCGAAACTTGAAATAATTAAAATTTGTCTCTCACAATGGCCTTTCTATATTCAAGGTTTCTTTGCTTGCCGTTCTTTCCACACCAAGATGAATTTCACTTTCCAATATGAAAAGAAATTTTTACGCATTTCGAAATTAAGTCAGCTTTTTTCATTGAAAGATGCTTTGTGGCCGGAAAGTCTCATTGTCAATAGTGTTTAGCCTTAATCGTCCAGTAATATAAATTGTGTGGGCCTATCGAATTAATAAGAAGATAGTTGCGCAACATGTTTAAAGTATCCATGTAGAGTGTGTTTACTCATGTAGTCACGTCCAGTTCCGAGTGGCAGAGTAAAATAAAAGGAACGGTGTGTTGAAGATTCTGGGAAAGTGCCGACCTACCCCTCCCGGCCTAAACAAACATTTTTTCCTAAGTGAAAAGTTAGGGTTAACGTTAAATAAGGGGAGGAGAAGGTGGGTCAGGTCCAAATACAACAATCACTAGTATTCTCTAGTCTAGAAATACGTTTTGCCTAACACTAGGGGCACCCAACGTCAATTTTCGGAAAATATCTGTTCGGAAGACGATTTGAGAGCTAGAATTTTCGGAACATTTGTAGTAAAATTTCTTGCCTGCCTGCCTCTCCTACGATTTTCGTACATCTAAAAAATGGTATAATTGCCAATTTTTAACGCTTTTTTACCCTAAAAACGTCACCTAGAATTTTCGGGAGCCTTATTTCTGGCTGAAATTTTCGAAAAGGTAAGTTTTGATCCCTATAATTTTCGGATCACTAAATTTTAGCTAGAAAATCCAAACAGATGAAAAACTTTTATGGGATACTTGAAATATGCCTATATCTACCGTTTAAATACTAAAATACGTTTAACAATGCTATGTTTAAGTGGTTTTGAACATAATTCTCGTTGGGTGCCCCTGTCACATCTTTTTTAAATTCCTTATCTAGGCTCACGGTGGTGCGAAGAAACGAAAGATCAATTTGACCAAAAAGCCACAACGTAAGTAACTTAATAGTGACGGTCTCAGCTCAGCTCCTTGTCTAGTTATCCCACGATGAAATGCCTGTAACATATTTTGCCGGCTTGAAACTGTTGAACGCCCGCCATAAGCCTTTCTAAAAATCCAGAACATAGAAAAAGAGAACTCCGATCCATTGTGGCCACTTTGGATACTTTAAATAAACTTCGCTGTAGGATTCTCTGTCAGAAAAAGGCTTTTTGTTTTTACAGGGTGGTGATTAAGAAGTAAAAGGAAATAGAAGCCCTTTTACAACTAACCGATAACTCGATATGCAAGCTGAAGCCGCTAAAAAAAAGAAAGAAAGAAAAAAAGAATTTTAGATTTTCGCTTTCCACTTTTCTGAACTTTTTAGTTGCTTTGATATAAAATTGCACTCTCATAGGAGGGTTGTCCGCGTTTGGTTGAAGCCATATTTGTTTGATGCATAATCCTAAAAGAGGATGAGCTCTTTCTCTTCGATTCCGGGCGCATAGAAGTGCCAGGTGTAACCTGCACGCGAGCAAGCTCTGGGGGGTTTGAGGGACGGGTGAGGTGGGGTGAGGCAAACATTTTGTCGAGGTTAACAACGTGACTTCATACTGAGACCTGATGGGGAGAGGCAAAAACAACTGGACTTTGATAATTATTAAGTTGTCTTGTTACCAATTGATCACGGATTACTTGTGACTTTATTACAGGTTGTTCACGGATTTGTCCTCCTGGTCGAGAATGCCAGGTTCTCTCAGATGGCAGCACCAAGCAATGTGTTTGTTTGTCAAGGTGTAAGAAGAAATATAAACCCGTGTGCGGTACAGACGGAAAGCTGTACAACAACCACTGTGAACTGCACAGGACTGCTTGCAAAACAGGAAAAAAGATAAGAATTGATTGGGATTTTAAGTGTTTCAAAAAAGATTACAATCGTGAAAAAGGTAGGTTACATGACTACCTGAGACACTGAATAGACTTGCGAATATTAGTTTTTCCTCTGAAAAAAAAGAAGATGGGAGAGTGTCCAGGTTGAAAGGTTTTTGAGTACATTCCCGAGGGGGGGGCACTAAAGGGAATTTTGGGTAGAGTCGGACCGCTAAAGCCTTCAAAACCTGACCCTGTTTAAGGCAATAGACCTTATTCAATGACCCTGATTCGGACTGTTTTGCTTACAGAATTAAGACTTAATATTTTGAAACTAACATGGTGGAGTTAGATTTTTTTCCTACTGATAAACAGTTACTGCTTATAGACATTCTTAGGGAGGAACAACATTTATAGTTCTTTATTATGCCTCAGTTAAAAACCACCAATCAAATTGTCGCCACGTGCTGATTCAGTCTGTGCGACAGAAAGGTATGAACTGTTTGCACTCTTCCTCATTAATCTGTTCTAACTTAGAACAAATTAATGAGGAACGCATGAACATCCAACTTCTTTTGAAGTCGCGGATCGAGGTTATCTGAACTGGATATTATACTGGACCCTCGACCCTCGACTCTCGATCACCCGATAAAGTCGTTATAACGAAAATAAAGACAGTTGGCCTACTTCAAGCTATGCAGGGTGTCGCATTCTAACTTCTGTGCGTTGCATTATTAGATTGCCCTAAGAAGCAGTTATCGAAAATGCAGCAGCTCATTTTGGAAACCTTCCAAAAGGAATTACACGGGAAAGAAGTGACGTCAAAAGTCCTGATTGACGAGCTATACTTCAGGTATAACGGCGATAGCGACGACAGCATCAGCGGTTCTGAGCTGAAACGTCTGGTTACCGACTACCTCATGTATCCAAAAGTAAAAAAGCTTGTGAAAATCTGTCACTCAAAGCAGTGGCTTAGAGCACAAGACAAGGACCAAAATGGAGTTCTCTCCAAGGACGAATTTTCGCGTAGTTTCGGTAAGAAAAATTTGCTATCTTTATGTTCACCGAGCATTCTAAATTTACTTTCCCAAATTATATGCTAATTAGACGTAGTTAGAAAGGCAGCGTGGCCGAGTGGTCAGCGCGTCTGGCTGACAGTCTGGCGGGAAAAGCAGCAAATCGTGCCGATTAAGGTCCCAAAGAACCGTGGGAATGCTTCAGCCTCGTAAGCGAATACCTTCACTGACGGCAGCAATCATTAAAGTGATATGTTTTCAATAAGTGGAATGTGAACCCAGTGTATCTCTTTTCTAACAAAATTAAGACTGAATCGGAATAAAACCCCTTTTTTTGCTGTTTTTGCTGTTTTGACTTAGTGCGTGGGGGGAGAGCAATCATGCCAACAAGCAATCATGTAAAGAGACCTTACTGTAAGAAGGAAAAAAAAAACAACAACTTGATTGTTTTTTTCCTACGTTTTAGCGAGCAAACCAGAAATAAGCATTCCGAAAAGTGAAGAAGAGCCGATATCTGGTTCCAATCTCACCCTTCAATGCCGAGCACGAGGTTACCCTGTTCCTGTTGTCACGTGGTATAAAGACCAAATCAAGTTAAACAAAACTGAGCATGTGTCAGTTTTCTCTGATGGGAAACTTTCAATTGAAAAGCTCGCGTCAGGAGACAGTGGTGTGTACACATGTAAGGCCTTAAATAACATGGGAATGGATAAGAAACATGTTGAGATCAAGGTCCAAGAACCAGTTACCCGCGACTCTTCAGTAACAAGTAAGGAAAAGAAGGAGTTGTTGAAAACATAAAACCTGTAACACATTCAACAGACAAAAACAAGTAAACTGGACGATGTGACAAATGGATTAAAGTTTTAATAGTAATCAAGTCTGATTTCTTTCGTAAAGGACCGCAAAAAAATCAAAATTGTTATGTCAGCTAAGCTATGGGTTTTTAAAAACCTTTTTTATCCAAAAGTAAACAAATAATTGATTGGCATTTTCACGTACTTTTCACTATAAACAGCTTTTCGCGTAACTGATTGCCGCTCACCTGAGCTTAAAGGTATGATAAGAAAAGGCTGATTTAATATAGAAATCATCTGGACGTCGTTTCTCATTCTTTTTCATATGGAAACTAAGTTTACGTTCGCATGCGGGCAAAAATGTATGATTAAGTTATAGACTGAGAAAGAAGATTGTTTTTCTTTTTTTTTTTTTCTTAATAGCTGTTCAAGGAGGAAACATGTTTTACGTCTTTGCAAACGACGGCGTCTACGTCATTAATCCTGAAACGTCCACGACTGTCAATCACATTCGAGCTGATGACGTCATAAATGGTACGACAAAACCCATATGTACAAGAAGTCAACAGAAGGCTTGCAACTGGGGTGGAGCTGTAAGCGTCAACTTAATATACGTATACGTTGCTGACTTTCTGGGCCAAAGGGTTTTAGTACTGGATATTGCTGCACAAACGTTCGTTGAGGAAGTGCCAACAGATTACTATCCCTATCAGCTAAAATATTTAAGGTGAGAAAATGTAAATCATTCTTACATGTTTTTTTTGGCCCTTAAGGCTGACAAGGGAAACTAATTTTATTTCATTAGACAAACTGTTTGGCGCGTGTTTTCAGCCTAATGCACGGAAGAACTTCACTGCTTTAATAATACCAAATCTATTTCTACCTTCCTTTTATAAATGCATGGGAGTTTTATTTCATACTTTTGTCGTAGAAGCTGCTTTGAACAATTCTTAAACTCGTTGGTCAAATATACATGTAGCATTTTCCTGCAGGCCAAACTTATAGATGAGGAATAATTTTGTCTTAATCAATTATTCCTAAGTTTTCAATTGCAATAAAACAGCTTTGATTTTAAGGAACATGAGGGAATAACCTGTAGTCGCAGAGAAATATGTTGATTTTTGTATCCACTCAGCTCGTTTAATTTTTGCTATTCTGAGAAGCATTTTTTTGCCTGATCTAATTAATTTATTCTGTGTTTGTAAACTTGTTTTATTTGGCAAATAAAATGGTTAGTCTTGTTGTTGTTGTTGCCGATTGTAGTTTTATCTTTGGTCTCTTTACAAGGTCCTTTGATGCCGTCTGGATTCTCAGTTGGGAAAACAGCTCTCTCGAAGTTCTCACTGAAGATGAAGACGATAATGGAACACTGTCAGTGATAAGCAATGCCAGCAAAATGATTCTTCACACTGCAACCAAACCGATGATGAATGGCTTCCATGATGCAGCTCATGGTTTCTTTGCAGTGGAAAACTGCGAACTGACAGAAGAGAAATATGGTTACGTCACTCATATTATGGAACCTGGCCTTCACGAAGTTGACCTGGCTACAAGGCGCTACACTAAGTTTTATAACTTTAGCGAACATCAGTGTTATGGGACTTTTGACTTGGCTCTCTCTCAACCTCATAAATATGCGTTTGTGCAGTGTTATACAAATAGAGACCTTGATAGCAAAGCGCAGTTGGTGATAGATTTGAAAGAAAATTTACTCGAAGCCAAAAGTGAGCAATACTTTGGTACATCATTTGCTTCCCCGGATGGTCGCTTTATCATAACATTGAATTATTATGCAATTTTAACCCAATACATCGACCCGGCAGGACAAATTTTCTTGTTTCCGGAAATTGAGTCCAACATTCTACTCAGCCACCTCGCCTTCTATCCTCGCAACGCTGGGTATGACCTGTACGTGACGTCAAAAGACCAATCTACAATCATTGTGCTACACGTGGATCAAAGAGGCATCGACACGCTGAAGTTCATCTCAGGTGTCGGTAAGCCTTTGCAGGAAGACTGGATTCACACACAGCGTCCAATCGTGATTGGATGTGAGGCTGGCGCCCGTTACCTAGCAACACCGGCAACAGGAGAAGACGCGGTCATTATTCTTGATGCAGAGCGCAAAGAGATGAGTGGAAAAGTTGGAGCAATGAAAGGGGCACAAACCATTTTGTGGGTTGGAAACCAGCAAGAATAAAGCACAGGATCATGATCGATGTATTAATTGATATCATGTGAACTGTTTTTAACATACAGTAGCCGGAGGTAGAGATTTATCAAGTTACAAGACGATCCACAGCAGGGTGTTTTTAGCTTGGATATTTTCTTTCTCTATTTCCCAATTCTCGGCGAGTTATTGACTGACTTTATAAAAGTTATTTTTGATCTGAACCCTGACTTTTTCTTAAGGTTACTTTTTGAATGAAAATAGTTTTGACTTGATCACCGCTTTCATTAATTTTTATTAATTTCAAAAAAAAATTGTAGATACGACAATGTTAGTGAAGAGCGTTCTTGTTTGTTGTCTTTTGAAGAAATTCTTGGAATAATTTTCATCTATTTAACATTGCGGAGTTGTTCTTGTTGGATGGCAATAAGTCACGTGGCGTTTAGAAGCCAGCGATTTACTAAACTTCGGAGCAACCTAGGCCTCGTTCCTAGTGTTCCCTCCTACTTGTCCCCCTTCATTTCCAGGGTTCTCTTTCTCTCGCTCTGGAGGACAAATAGGAGAGAAACCTGAGAACGAGGTTGAATGCGGTGAAAACAGACCAGAATATTAGGTTGCTTGATCCACTTCCAGTTCCTCATTTTTGCCAAGATCTTGCTTGTTCCTGGCTTCAAAGGGCCTGAGTCTGAGGAAAGCGAAAACAAAGCTCGCGGGGAAGACGGGAAGGGAAAAAGAGGAAACGAGGGACGCTTCGCTTTTGGAGAGAAACCTGGACCGATTTGTAATGACTAGAGGACGGTCTGGGACTTAAACATGAGTTTCCTGATAACAGAGCCGTCTGTGCTGAGAAAACTTTTATTTGCAATATTCCTTTAACCTATCTACAAATGTCTTGTATTAAATTTCATCGTACATTAGAATAAAATGTGTATAGTACTATTATAGAGATATCTAGAGATCCTTCTAGAATCCTTGGCTGTACCTTCGAACCTGAACATCTAGTGAAAGAAACAAACAAACAAATCAACAAACAAAACCATGTCAGCTCATTCAAACCAATTCAACTTTCAAAAGGCAAAATGATCGTTAAATTCAGTGATTTCTTGATTTGCTAAATAATGGAGAGAAGATCTCTTAGATGTGACCTTGTCCCAAGATAATTTTGGTGACAAAGCCGGATTTCAAAAGGATTTGCTAACCGCTTACCATAAGTTTTAATCATCTATTTGCCGTGTCGATTCATTCGTAACCGTTGAGGACCTGCAACAAAGAGATTTGTACTTTCTGGTGAAGAAGACACTACCGGTATTAAATAAAAAGTATCACTTATTTAATAAAAAACGGCCATCGCAGTTTTATAAATAAATTAGTAGTCAATGACCCTGCGATAAACAGCACTCTCTCATGGTCTTGAAAAGTAGTTGAAATTCCTTTCAAAGCAGACCGAGATCGCTCAGGAATACTTATCAAATGCATTAATTCGCCATTGGTAGCCGATAATAGCAAAAAAACTTGGCTTATCCATAATTTCAACCTTGTTGTTTGGCCCATCGTCTGAGGGAAAAGTTGATTATAAATAGATACATGTTAACTTACTGTCCTCAAAATCCATGCCTCTTGTATCGTACTCGACGTATTCTGAAACAATTTCAAAGTTTTGATTTGTAATTGTTTTCCCAACGTAATAGAGATAATACTTTCCTGAATAAAGTAAGCCTCAATACATTTTTGACCAAAAAATTCTTAAACCCTTGGTTGAATAACCCCTGCTTTGAAAAAAATGTAATGAACAACATTGCAAAAAAGTACGTTGAAAATATCTAGTGTTAGCCCTTGCTGGATACGGGTTCAAACCTTACATGCCCTTGTTTTTTCCCTCTTCTATTACCTTTAAATAAGTTTTAAGACTTTTTTTCATGCAATGTTAGTCAAAATAACAACTTGATTTGGAGGTATCCATTCTAACCCAACCCCAACCTATTCCAGCCCAACCACTCAGCCTAAAATTATACTAGACAAAAAGGATTAATGTTAAAGTTATCAACAACAACAACAACAACAACAACTTGATTTATTAGAGCATGTATATGAATTGGAAGAGGAGAAGTATCTACCCGCAATTGGCAATAGCTAATCGAGATGGGTAGTTAGAACAAAAAAAATTGTTACCAAGTACAAAAATTATAAAAAAAGTTACACTTACATATATGGCGCGAAATACAAGAAGCTACAGCTAATAAAGAGCTCAAGTTACAAGGTCATTACAAAAGGATCAATGTTAAATGTTTTTCATTATGTAAATAAATGAAGATGTCCAAGGGTAAGAGTTTTCAGATTTCAGGATATTAGTAAACATTTCATGTACTTGTTATTTGAATAACTTTTTGCTCTCCGATTCTCTCAGATTATTCTGAGGTAAAACGTCACTTTGTACCTTTGTCTCCTCCAAGAGCTGGTTCTGGGTAACTGTCCTGACTGTTTACAAACCTAAAAGAAGAAAGCAAACACAAAATATACCGTAAAATTCCGAAAATAAGCCCCGGGGCTTATATTTTTCAAAGGCCTTTTTGAGGGGCTTATTTTTGGAGGGGCTTATATTCGGAGGGGCTTATCTACGGAGTGAAATTTGTGTTTCAAAATCGATTGGGCTAGTTCTATAGTTGGAAGTGAATTTACCGTTTTTCCTTTGTTTTAGCTGGTATCTGAGGGCAGTTTTCCAAGTACAAGCCCCCGGACGGCTTATATTTGGAGGGGCGATTTAACGGAGGGTTTTTTGCGTTATCGGTTTGAGGGGCTTTTATTTGGAGGGGCTTATACATGAAGGGGCGTATTTTCTGAATTTTACAGTACTCCCCATCTAGAACACGCCCACCAGGCTAGAATCTGTTGTCAGTGACCAAATAACTGGTTTAAGACTGAATTTCTAGAAAACTATGCTTAAATGTGGCTGAATCCTGGCTTAACGTTCAGCATCTTGGCAAGGGCACTGACGATTTACTTCATGGTTGTTATGCTAGATAAAAGGAGATAAGACAGGTATAGACCTCACCCTCTTCTGCCGTGGCGGTTGATTCTTAACCTAGGAGGAATTTGTGGATCTGAAGAAAGAGATATTTAAGTTATTTACTGCCCGATTGGTCAGACAAAAAACACTAATAGAAACCATTTGGCCTTTAAACCGTCTTTTTAGAGCTTCTAGACGATACGTGCGAAGGCTAGTCTTTCTTTGGAATGAAAATTAAGCCGTCTTTCTGTGACGAGCAAAAATGTCATTGGTTCACCCTGCGGCTATGGTAAAACGTATAGCATGGGTCCTCCTATAAATTCCCTTATTAAAATTCCCAAAAAAATAGTCGCAACATACGAAATACTGCTGGTTTCAATGACAGGATTTCATCCACAGAGTCAAAAATTTTAACTGCTTACTAACCGTTTAAAAGTACTCTAACATGACGTCATTTGAATAGTCGCTTTGAAGGATTAGATCCACGATCTCAAAAGATAGACCTACATTGAAGCTCTTTATAATTTAAGTCTAGAAATGAAGAGGGTCAATTGAACAAAGTCCTCACCCTACGTATTACTCAACAACAACAACCTGCTCAATATTACCTACTAAAGCATCATCTGCAGTAAAAGCCCTAAATTCTGAAAAAGGAAAGACAGAAATAATTCAATTTTTGTTTAACACAACTATTAAGTGTTAAGGCTAGTGCCAAAAATGTTAGTTAAGAAAAAGATAAAAAATTAAAACCCCATCTTTTTTGAGTTTCATCACTGCATTAGTTGGCTTCACACTAGAAGCTAAGTTTGTTTCAAGTATTAAAGCACTTGATTCAAGTGAACTTGGAAATCTTAAGTTGCTCTGTAGAAAACATGGCTTCACACTTGTTGACAGAGTATATTACTTGAAGTAAAGTTATCAATCTCTCCGTTCATTAGAATCTTGGAACCGCGGCACGTGCTCATCGTGCGCATGGCTTTCATTTCTTATTGGACAAGTGTGTAATCAAGTGTGGTGTAGCCCATACTTGGCGGCGAACTTTGGTGTCTTTGAACTACAAACTTTTCCATGGTCACCAAGTAAAGTTGAAGTAGGTACATTTTACCCCTTCACATTCAAAGCAGGTTCCAAGCACTCTTTCATTATACTTAAAGCTCTAGTGTGAAGCCAACAATTGAAATTAGCACCACTAAAAAGTGCTAATTGAGGATCCTATTATGTTCCCTACTGTAGACGGGATCGCCATTTTACACGGGTCATCTGAGTCACATGAAGGTTTCTGAGCCGTTTGCAATACATTCAGTTCTTTAATAGTTATTTCTTTAAAAAGACCCTGAGTGATTTTTAATCTCATCCCGGGGATTCTGCTGTAAAGCATCAAACCCTTTAAGATAGCCACAATCCCGGTCATAATTTGACCATAATTTGTTGAAACACTTCCGGAAAACACAACATAAACCTAGTCGTTTCATGAATACACGTATTGCTTCCTTCCCCTTCCCGGATTTGTTTTACAAAACAAATTATTTTAGTTTCTTATTTTTTTATTTCCTTCAATTTTAATTACTTTCACCGTATGTTGAAAAATTATGAGGTAAAGTACCATGACTGAACAACAGGTTTCAGAGAATCAGTAGAACAAACCAATAACAGAGTATATCATCATCCGTTTGCCTGTTAAGCGATAGACTTGCTACAAGTCGACCTCTTGGCGAGCGGAGCGAGCTTTTTTGGCCACGAATCGGCCGACTGCGAGCGACGAAGTCGCGAGAAGTCATATGAAATCCGACGAAGGACTTTTTTGAAAGTCTAGTTAAGCGACAGTCCCACCAATTTCAATCCATATTTCAAGTCATACTTTCTATTCTGTGATCACTTAAATCAAGCAATAAATAAACGAGGATATTACCCACAACGAGCGAGTGTTTTCAGTGCCAATCAAGTTCAAAATCTCGTCTTGGTTCCTTTACCCGTAAAAGGTTGTGCTACAAACTCACATGATTTTAAAATAAATTAGGTCTTGAGCGTCAATTTTACTAAACACTGCACGTGAGTTAGTGTGTTCGTCCTGACAATTTATTCTACTCACCATTCTCTACGTGGCCTGATGGTTTCGCGGTTGCTGTTACAAAAATAATTGCTATAATGACCGTAAAGAAGCACACTATCTTAGAAACCATTGTGAAAGTTCAAATAAAATCTTTTAAAGCCCTGCAAGAAAAATCAAGAGATTATTTTTAAACGAATATATATAGATAGATTATTAGACCAGGCATTCAAGTCTAATTTAAGAGACGCAAAGGTTATTTCAATAAGCCCTTCCATCTTGCCTTGGTAGATTTTTCTTTTTCGCCCACCCTGGAGATACTCGTGTAGACAATTTGGTTTCTAACATATATATATCTGATATACTGTGGAGCAGTCGGTCTCGGAAGTTAGCCAACAACTCTGTCGGAAATTATCCTACAAGATCAGCAAAATCAAAATTAAATTCAAGCAAGTCTTGTATCTTCGCGCCTGAAGATTATTGACAAATCGGGCAACCATGTCGGAGCAAAGTACATTGTAGATTAAAATGGAACAAAGTGTAGGGAAAAACCTTAATATGTTTGATCAACTTAAACCTGTTTCATCCGAGTAGCGATTGACAAGAGGCTGCGTGATTGATGGACAGGGAAAAAACGCTCAAAACTCATTTCATTTTCCACCTCTGGACTAAGTGAGGATTTTTTTACAGCTTTTTTTCGAACAATAACAAACTCCCCTCATTGTAAGTAGGGTGTTTGGAATTACAAAGAACAAAAGGGTATTGCCAGACAAAAGAAAATGTATCTTTAGTGGCGGATAGCACAGCTGCACTACTGTTAACGTAGAATTCAGTCAAACTTTGAAAGGAAGTATCTGGGACTGTAGTGTGTGATAATTTCTTCTTTTGTAGCATTTCACAGTTAAGTTGTAATCGTTTTCAGTCTGTTTTCATACAAATTTAAGTATAAAGTGCCTCGATATCATGCCCTTGATAGGTTTACAGGGGGGTAGGATACCTGTTTTCTGCGAAGAGAAGTTAAAAGAGACGTCTTTCAGTGAAGTATTTCTTAGGTTACGCCTACTTTGATAGACCTTGATGGGATGGCAAGTAAGTTAAGGTTTTAACAAAAAATTGTATTTTATCGAGTGAGTGAAGCGAAAACATGCCGTCTAACCGTTTCTACCGTTAGAGTTTTTCCTTGAAATTATACCTGTGAAATGTCTTAATACTCATGTAACAGTTGTGATTAACGGTACATTAAGCGAATACGAAAGCCATAATTTGCGAATTATATTGGGCTAGTTTTAGAAGGGCATATATCTATCAACCAGCATATTGCTGTACGTAGTTGAGTCAAAGCTAAATAAAGGTCTACCAGTTCCCTCATCTCTCGTAGAAGAAAGATATGAATAACAGATACCTCTACTTGAAGATAAACGGTTTTAAAACGTACCATTACGGTAATTAACAAGTTGCCGCGTCTGTGAATCTAGTTTTTCACTTACCTATTCTGCAGCCCACGTTTGTTGTGCTGTAAAAACTGTAGCGATATTGAAACTGTTTCCCGCTTACTTATGAGCGTCATCTTACGTGTTCTAACCAAGCTATTTGTTATGCGCGTTTCCGTGTTCCTGTTGTTTCGCTTGTTTCAAAACATCCGCCTTCACTTGAGAAAATTAAAGATGGTGATAGAATTAGCCGGTAATTTCAATCTATCACAGTGAGAAGTACTTCCTTTCACAAGATGTATTTTACACTTAAACAAAAAGCCTAAGATGTGAAGATTTTTCTGCGGCCTTTGATGACTCCTTTTTCTGGAGACTGTTTTTTTTAAGTTACTAACTTTTCGCTCCAAGAACTTTAAGGTCTATCTGAAAACATCTATTGTTTTTCCCGCTTATTTAACTTAAAAAAAAAAAAAGCATAACTACTGTTTAGACATTTTAAACTTTTTGCGTATGTATTGGCGTGAAAAGAAAAACGAACTGTATAGGATACAAAATATAGTCAAAGCGCTCTTACGAAACAACACTTGCGAGCGATTGTTAAAATATACTTATAATCTCCTTCGGAAAGAAAACTTTCAAAGCAAGGCACACTAAAAGACTCATTGTATGAGGCTAATTATCGGTCAAAACCCATTCGATTAAGCAATTATCATTTATTATATACTAGGTGGAAGGAATTAATTGTCATCACAGATAAGATGTTAGCGGCAACGTCTTTACCGTGAGAGGATCGGTTATAACCAGGACAAATACACATTTAAGAGAGGATGATAAAAGTTAATCGATGAATGGAGATGTTTTGTTCTTCAAAACAGAGACATAAAGCCTGTTGCTTTGAAGATAGAAAGAGAAAAAAAGAAAAGAAAAAAGAAGAAGAACGAAAAACGGAGACAAAGAGGAACACTAAGAACAAGAAAAAAAGAAGATTTGTATTTTGCTGGTTTTAAGTAATTTTATAGTGATGGGTTAAGGTCATACAAAGTCGAGACCAGAAAAGTTCATTCCGTCATTGTTTTTCAGAGTGAATACTGTTAGTATTTATATTTTAAAATATAGTTTATGATAATCGGCTGTTCAGTGTTTTTAGTTTGTTTCCCGTTAAAGCCGTTTTTTCTCAACTTCTGCTAATGATTTGCTGGTAACTTTTCGCCAAGATTCATTTTGTCTCTCTTTTCCGTCCTTCAGTATTTTTATGAGGAAAAATAAGAATGAAGTAAAAAATATATATAGATTAAAAGGAAAAAAGGAAAAAGAAAGTGTGGAAAGACAAAATTGCAGTTGGTCTTTCATAACATCTCTGAAATGTGTTGCTCGTAAAGTTTACAAAAACAGAATTTTTTTGTACCTACGCGAGAAATAGTATTGCGTATATAATTATCCACTGGTGTTTTACATTTGGTATGGTATAAACTGATAAGTTGATATGTCTAATATCATGTTAGAATTCCGGCTCATTATCTCACGCTGAATAAGATCAAATGAAGAAAACTTTTAAAACTTGCGGGTATACTGAGCCTTTTTCCTACCTGATAAGGCCTTTTACCCCTTGGAAATTTGCAAAACAGTATGACCTGGGTTATATTACCATGCATATAACCATGGAAATGTCAAAAAATTGAAAACGGACGACTATGACAACAATGTGGGCCACGAAAACTTCCGAAATGTTTATCTCGCGTTTTTGCTTAGCACGACAAAACAACCAATCATATGCTTAGCTACCCTGAAATCCCCGGCGAAAGACTCCGACTGCGCGCAAAAGCAAGCAAGCGATGACACCACGTAAATGTACCGCAGGATAAATAATGTGTTTTCCCACGGTGTGAGTTACCAATTGTCAAACCTGTTATCCATGAACCTTCTATTTCGACAAGCGTATGGTCTTCATTTGAATACAAACAGCTACTATTCCCTATTACTAGAAACACGCATAATGAAGTCGTCCTAGATCCAGCGTCATATACAGTAACAATAACGTCGCTATAAAAAGTGAATTTGCGTTCTTTCAGTCTTTAATTATCGCGATTATTCCTACCCATTTACTTTGAAGGCGAATCCTCTTGAAGTTGAATTCCAAGGGATCATATCCAAGTTCAAGAAGAAAAATAAAATTTCGTCGTTGCTTGCGAAATTAGGCATTTACATGTCGTAGTAGTGAGTAAACAGCAAAGAAATGTACAAAAAAGTGTGATGCACGAGCGAAATTGTTGTTTTCGGCTCATTAAAAAGATTGTTTTTTTGAAGTTCTCGTTGCCGTGGTATCGTCTCTAAAGCAAAAAGTGGCTTCTTAACGCCGCTTAGAAGACTGATAGGTCTGTTTAGAAACAAGAGCAAATTAACGCTAACGGCGAAGACAGAAGGGAAATCCAAAATATAAATATATAAAAAAAATAATATTAATGACATTATTTGTGTTCGATATATAAGTCGGTTTGAAACACAAACCTTGCCGTCAGTTGTGGTTTTGCTGCTCCGTTTTAAATATTGCTTCTGTGTACCTGGTTTGATATATTAACAAAAAGAAGCACGCGATAACCTGGTATTAGTTTGAGAGAGAAATATCTAGTACTTGCTGTGCTACAATGAATATGATACGGAAACTAGTTCTTCTAGCGAGAGTGAGAGAATTTTTTTACGAGGTTTAAAAGAATTTGAACCCTCCTCAACATGTGACTATAAGAACAGACTGAATTTGAATTTTTGAAACCTGGAAAAATCAACTGCTCAGTTAGTGTTATAAGACTTACCCTGATGTCACAAAACTCTTATCCAGTAATTGTTTTATTATTTCAAAATATCTAAAAGTTCCTAAGGCTGCGCGCAAACGGACGCGACAACTCCCAACATTGTTGCGCCAACAATGTTGGGAGTTGCTGCGTGCGTCTTGGTAGTGGTGTGCAAACGGATGCAACAACTCTCAACAATGTTGGGACCTGCAGTGCATCGTGGGAAGGATCGAACCCATAAGTCTTTGTAGCGGAGCTCCACCCGCGCGCGAAGCGCGCGCGTGGACGGAGCCCCATAGCTAAGGAAATGTGGTAATCTACCCATCCGAGAAAATTTGGTTATCACGTGACCGACCGTCCGTCCGCACCACATGGAAACCAATGTTTACTCTCACACTTTCTAGCTAGTTTGGGAGCCCAATAGAAAACTAATTGCATATCAATTTTGTGATCAATTGACAGCTGTCAAAACAGGATATCCGCTGACCAGTATCACCTGGCCGTACTGCGGGCTCAAGTGTCGACCCATCGAGGTCGAGTACTTTTTTGAAGTTATCCGCTGACAAATTACCAGTTTCAAATGATCGCAGGCTCAAGTCTATTTTTTCCAATGAGTCATATGAAATATCTTGTGTTTATGTCACTATGGCCCCGCACTGTCAAGATTTTGATTTCAAACTGACCTCGGACGCGAAAATTCAGCCACTCTTTCAAAAATAAAGGCGGGGAAGACCTTTTCTTACCATGGTCACGCGTTGGTCACGCTCTACGTCCAATTTTTGTACTCTGATTGGTCAAAATTTGACAGGTGAGTTCATGCGGAAAATTTATGCAGCAACTTGAAAGTTGTTTACTTTGACAGCTAAAGCTGACAGAGTTTTGTGTCAACTTGTGATGTTTTTAACTGTCTTTTTCCACTGGATGTACAAAATGAAATACAGCTGCTATCAAGGGTCTTCTGTTATCCATGGCTGGTTTGTTTGTTAGGTTTTTGGTTGAGAAATGCGTCGCTACTCAAAATTGGGGAATCCGATTTCGGATGGCATCGTTTTCGTCTTTCACCTTGCTCAATGCGTAAGAGGGTTTAAAAGTCTCAAGCAACTATGGCCTTCCTTGATATCTTTCAGGAACTGAATCTCGAATGGTAAGACTGAGTAATGATTGTATTTGATGTTTGTTTTTGTTATATCTAATTTCATGAAGTCGAGCACAGTTTATGCGGCAAGTTTTTGGACGTTTGTTGAGATTTGAGTCAATGATCTGATCTAGTATCGGGTTTGATATAAGCTTACAGAACTTTAAAAGGCCTTCAGAAATATTTTCTCACGGCAAATAGAAAAAAAAAACGTTCCGAAGAATATTTAGTTATAAATTTGGCTGTAGAAAGAAAATTTGAGTGATTTTCTTGCTTGGAGGAGTTCATCTTTGAAAAAAAACAAACACCGGGAGGCCGGCTGAAAGTAAAACAAAATAAACTTAAGCTTAAGCTTTAAGCTTAAAGACTCAGGATTTTTAGAGACACTTTAATACTTGTCTTCGTGAAAGAAAATTGTTGTCTCAGTAAATGTTTTACCGAATTATATTTCTTTTATTGATTGTTAGTAGTCTCTCTTGCAATTTTAATCGCTTGTCCGTGGTGTTTGTTTTCATTGTTCATGAACATCGCTTGCAGGAGTACTTAGAAATGTCGCGCGTATCAAACGCTTTATAAGATTACACATCGTTATAACTGGAACCATTAAATAACAAAAAGTAATGATAATAAATTCGTTATTATGTTGAGGCGTATCTCCATTAAAGTTCATTCAAACACTCGACCACACTGACAGCTCGCTCTAAAAATGAGAACCGGCTGGCCGTATGGGTGATTTGGGAATTTTTTGAACGGTTTCGCTAAAAGCCTACGATTGATCGTCCTGAACATTGAAAAATTGTGAAATGCCGTATTCTGCCCGAGGTCTGTATGATAAAAAGTACTGTTTCACCTCAGATGTGATGTATAAAAAGTATAAAGGTTGGTTTACACACCCTCAGATTTGTTGGCAAGAATTTGTAAAGTAAACCTGTCGAACGCAAAAAAATGCTGCCTGATGTTTTTTCCAAGAATTTGTTTTCGAGGCCTAATCTACTGTGATCAAGAGGCTCTTGAATGTGGTAGAAGATGTTTGCTATTTTTTGGGTGCACATATATTTAGGCTATCAACTCGATTTAAGATGTTTCACTCTAAAATAACTTATCCTTTCCCTCAAAAGTCCCATGAATGTGCCCGTAAGTTAACTGATTTGTGGATTATCAGTTTATTGTTTGATTTAAAATATAAATTTATTAATGGAAGCTTCGCTTTTAGCCCTGGCTAAATCTATGTATTAAACCATGCGTAATGAGCGTGCGTGGCCCCCAACAATGTTGGAAGAGTTGTGCAAACGGATCCAACATTGTTGCGCTACGCTTCAGCGATCACGGAACACAAAAAATGTTGGGAGTTGTTGGCTGAAAAGTTTGACCGGTTTCAAACTTTGCGCAACAACACGCAACAACATCCAACAACATGCAACAGGGTGTGCAAACGGACGCAACATGTAACATCCAACAATGTTGGGAGTTGTTGGCCAACAATGTTGCGTCCGTTTGCACGGGGCTTAACAAGTTTACCTTCTCATAAACTTTCTTCAAAATGGTTTGGCCTATTTCTCGGCTCGGTTTCAGAGCAAAAACAGATTTTTTTTCTCTTGAGGATACTTCTTAAAATTAGATAACATCCATCGAGCAAAATGTTTTGCGTATTCTTGAGTTTCTTACACTCAGTTTTCATCAGAAATACAGCTACTTCGTCTCCGGATAGCCGTGAAGGTTGATCGATGGGATATTTACTTGAAAAAGAGGCTGCTTGGATTCGATGGTATTATATTGCTCGCATTTTACAAATTTGGTCAACGGCTGTTGGTTACGAACAATAAGCCGGAGGATTTGAGCCAATCAGAAACGGCGCGATATTTTGAATTATATAAATAATCCTAGCCTGGAGTTGAGAACATAAGGTAAAGCACAAATAGAACTAAAAGTTAACTTTTATTTACACACTTCATAAAGATATTTAACTTTAGCTTTATTCTCTTGACGTGGGTCTCAGTCTTGCTCAATAATTGTTCTTCTTCGTGTTTCAGAAACCTAAACCTTTTGAATCTTCGTTTGTGTGTCATTTACTAAGCTTTTAATTCCTTTCCTATTAATTAAGCTTCATTGATCTGCAGAGCATTAACCTAGAAAACAAAAGTTAAGGAAACGTTTAGTCTCTGACAAGGGATGTATAATATATAATTACTGAACTAAAGGTTACAAATTGTAAGTTTAACGCCGCGAGCATCAGATGCTGGTTAGTAAAACATCATCTGAAAAACGATGAACTGGCATATACATGTTGTTAATTACAGACCCTTTTGTTGGGTCAATTTATAGTTGTAGGATAAATGACTGCAAGATAGTCCTGTAATCACGAAACTCTTTGCGATTTGGTTATAGGCTCGTTTACAGACATACGAAAATAGTTTGAAACTGTTAACGTCCGCCACAATGTGCGAAACCTCGCGTAATAAGAACGTGCGATTTAAGTTATGATGACACCAATAGATAAACTTGCTAAAAAATCTTATTGCATGAACAAACATTAATCCAGTTTTTAACGCCTAAATAGCGACAGGACACCCAAAATACCACAGGAGACCTAAAGATGTAGTGTGTAGAACAACTACCGTATTTTCTTGAATAATAGCCTTCCCTAGATTAATCGACTCCCTCGAATAATCGTCCCCTCCCCTTTTACAAAAGTATTTGAAATAATCGCCCCCGTCCCACCCCTCTTGTCATCTTCTCATTCTTTTATCCCCTCCCTCTCAATTTAAAAGTTGACACCTTGGATTAACCAAATTTGGAACACTTAAAAAAGCCCATGTTCAGTTTATTTGATGTGATTATTGTTTGATTTAATGGGACGAAAACAAAAGAAAATGTTTAGGGCACGACTTCCAGGTAGTAATATTTAAAAATTTCTGTCTTTGTGCCACAGGAACACCAGATTAGGATGAGTTCCAACGAACGCGATAATTGCCTCCACCAAATAATCGCCCCCTTTTGGTGCCAAAAAATATGGATTGAAAAAAAATTAATAATCGTCCCCGGCTATTATTCGAGGAACTACGGTAGCGTCAGACAGTCTCCTGCGATACATAGGATAGTAAAACTGAGGTCTAAATAGAACTTTAGTGCTAGTTTAAGTTTATAAATGGGAAACAAGAGGTAACCTTACCTAAGTCTATTTAACCATTCTCTTAAGCAGTATGTGATCTCCTGTACGGAAAAAAAGGTGAGTCAATTCTTTAATGGGATCCATCAATTTCAAAGAATATTATTCAAATCTGCTCAGCCAAACAGAAAACATATTTCACCTTTTTCGTCCAGGTCTGATCATGCCGTTATAGGGTGGAAAATTTGCTCGCTTACTAGCACCTGAAAACAGAAGAGTAAATATTCCAAGTAATTTGTCGGTTTACTATCTCACTTATGACATATTTTGTCATTATCGCCTGAAGTGAAAGAAAATAAGGGTGGAAATTTTATGAAGGACAGTCAGCCTACTTCCGGCGCTAAGTAAGACAATGTTGCTGGCTTTGGTAATTATTTTGGTGTTTGCCAAAAAGTTGCGGATGTGCCTGCTGGATTCACCGGATACGAGTGGACGGAAGCCGTACCCGCAAAGAAAAAGATGCAGATTAAAAAATATCTGGATACGAGTAGACGGGGCCTCATTATGCTTCCAAAAGTATAAGATACTAACAGAGGCTCGGTTGACGGTTGCCCTGAAAAACTGTGGGCAGTTTAAGATATTCCCCCAGATTATTAAGATCTGCCTGAGAATCTCATACAATCGTTTGTCGAGATTGCCTTATTTAGGGGCGCTTTCCATTTGTCAAAACTGACCGGCCAGTAGGCTCGATTACCAGCCGCTGTTCGGGAAAATGAGCCCGCACTCATTCCCCCGAAAGAGGATGAGGATCAAAGACCGGACCCGGGAGACGGCGGAAATCGAGCCTAACCGGCCAGACCATTCCTGCGATTCCGTCGAATTGCGAATTTTACTTTGACTATCCAGCCAGATCATAAATATTATGCAGGAGGAGATGGTTTTTCAGCAAAATGTCTTCAACTGGCCGGCCAGTTCTGACTTTTGGAAACCGCCCTAAGCTGTTTCAAAATAGACTTCTAACGAGTAAAATCATTTCCCTGCCTTGTACTGATAATGTAGTCTATCTTTTCAATCTGCTATCGACTAACTTCTACAGTGCAACCCTTCTAAAGAATTCTTTCATATGGCTTTTTTCGGAATGCTTTTCAGAACTGTATGCACAACAAAATTTATTTGAGACATTACTAGCAGTAAAGATAAAGTCAAGAATGAATGTATAATAGGAGAAAATTACCTGCTATAGGATCGATAACACTAAACATGTCTGATACGGTTCTGAGGGGAGAAGAACATATGACTTGCATCATGAAAAGTAGACCGTTCACGGTTTCCTATTTTTTCGTAAGAGCGTAGGATCGAGTGCTTACCAGTACGGGCGGCCATTTTGGTTTCATATGTACTGAGCAGGCGAGCGTCGGGGTGTATAGCTGTCGGGGAGAGACGATGCCCACCCCCTAAGTACATATGTCTACGCTCCCCTAAGTGGACTTGACACTTATCCAAGATGGCCGCCCGTAAAGCAAATTGCTCGATCTCGACTATCTTACGGAAAAATAGGGGATTGTCAGAAGTCTACATCAAAAGCAATGAGGGAAAAAAATTAGCAAGGATTTTAAAATGAAACGTAAGCGCTGAAAACTGTAGTAAAGTAGGAGTAGAGTTAGAGGAAGTTGGTTGGAGAAAAAATATTACACGTTTGAAAGGAAGTGAAGGGGGCGGGAGGTGGAGGCGGATTAAGGCGCTCAGGTGCATAAAGAGCATGCGCGACCACGCCTCAATTGCTTTTTCAAAACAATATTTCAGCTGGCCATACCAGCCTTCTTCAAGTTTACAACATGTTGTAACATCTGTAATCCTGAAGAAGGCTGTTATGATCAGCCGAAGGATTTTTTTACAACAGCAACACACTTTGTAATATCAGCTTTGCAGTAGCTTTCCTGCTAGCAGAGGTCTCTCTTTCTCTCATTTTTGCCTCGTCGTGAGAGACCTCTGCTAGCAGGGAATGCAGTAGCCAGTCTTCGGACTTCTCGTTTTTTGTTCTTATGATATTAGCTGATCAGATCCGTTTTCTAGAGATCCCGCAACGTTGTCAGCCAGCAGGATCTTCGTCCTCGGTTCGTGCAGTCAATTTCTTCATGCCTCGATTCTCTTTTCCATTCCCCCTCAAACGCCTGTCACATAGGCTGGACGCATTGCAATAATTATATACAAGGAAAAGCAAGGGAGAATGGGACAAGGAATTATGAAGGAAGTGAGAAAAGAATGTAACGGTTGCCTCTGCTAAAACTTATCACTCTTAAATCACATGTAGTTTAAGGACTACCAAAACGAGCTTTAGTTGACCTGAAATAGAGCGGTTTTCACTTGACTGTCGTAAAACCAAAACGAAAGTAAATACACTAGCCAACCAAAGGGCGTAGTAAAACCAAAACCAAACCAATTCCTCAATTACTTTCGACAGTCAAGTGAAAACCGCTCTATTCAAAAACGGTTTTAAACATTACGCTTGTTCTTTTGTACCGGTTACGACAAATTGACAGAAGTCTTACCGTCTCCTGCCAGGTCTGACCATAAATTTGCCACCAGTTGCTAGTTGATACTCAGCTGAAAATAAAAATCCAACCAAGAATACTCAAGATCAATTAATGCGTCATTATAATAACGTTTGTAAAAAAGATATAATCAACAAATCGACAACAATTTTCCATGTTCTACACTATTACAGACGATAGAATTTGCGTCATAAAATGTTAAAAACTCAAGTGGAACCGCGGGCCGCAGGCTAGTGGTTTCACTGCAAAGTTTTGAACATTTTGTGGCGTCATTTCTATGGTCTATAAGAGTGTAGACCATGGAAAATTGTGGTCGATTTGTTTTTTAGAATAACATTCATTTTTTTACGAAAAACCACACACAAAAAAAAACAAACGGCACAGTGTGACATGTTGCGTCATTTCAATGGCCTATACTCTCATAGACCATAGCTCTTGACCAATCAGCGCGCAAGGATTTGCTCAGTTAGTGTAAAGTTAATAGAAGTATTATTAATAGTACCTCTAGCTTATGGCCCAGAATGTAATCCCGCTCTACGGACACTCGCCTAATACGGACACTGGCATGTAAAGGAAGGTTTCCTTTGTCTAAACCAAAAAGCTCATACATTTCCTCTAAGAATGATTAACCTACTTAATACGGACACCGATTAATATGGAAAACGGACAGTTTTCCCATGTGTATTAAATGATAAAATCCCTGCGCAGCGTAGTTACTTAATGTGAATTTAAAAATTGTAAAATCGACGCTGTTCAAAAGAGTCTTCAGGTACCCTGAGGAAGGCAGCATTGCCGAAACGTCGGTTAAGACTCTTTTGAACAGCGTCGATTTGACAATTCGAAATGGACATTTTCACATGTCTCGAGTATCAAACCGCCATACATGTATTGATTACCACGTTTTACAGACATTGTTAATCTGAACACTGCTTAAATACTAGTTAAAAACTAACCGCAGAAACTGCAAATGACCTTTCAGTGTTTCTGTCTAGTATTTAGTCCAGCAAGTTGATTCGCAAACTAAAACCGTCAATGCTAAGAAAAATCGGAGATACCATTCTCTCGTTTCAAGGACAATACTTTAAATGTTCAAGGTAATTTTAGTCCAGGACTATGATAAAAGATTGTTAGGTTTCTTTAGGATAAACTTTTAACCGTTACAGTTTAGAAACTATACAACGTTTTCTCGTGAAAATGTCTTGCTTCGTCGTTGGAATTGTTTGTTTTTTTTGAGAGCTTGCTTAATACCGACGGACACCCGGACACTATGGAATATCCTTTCCGTGTCATTCGTATAAACCGGTGAAGCGCTTTTTGCACTACAAATGTTCCGTGTTAGTGCAATTCAGCCTTATTTACAGGTTTCATTGCAATTTTCTGACTGGTATACTTGCTCCTTTCAGTTTATGATACTCTCGCCGGAAATGCGATTTGCGCCGCTATACAACAAAATGCGATCACTAACATCGTCTTGAAAGCTTCAAGGAAGTAGCGCCATTAATAAGAAAGTTTTTTTGCGAAACAGCTCCGAAATCCTTGTTCTGGGCCCCCACCTATGTACCAGGATTTGATTACGTGCCATGATTGGCCTGTTAAAAAAGCCTTTGTCAATTTGCCAATCAGATTGAAGGAAATTCGAAACGCATTTCCAGTAATTCATCGAGTATCATCGCTGCTTCGCAGACGTTACTAACCGGGGTTAAATTACGTCTGCTAAGCGGGCTAGTTTACAAGCTAGATCTGGAGCTTTACCTTGAGAAGGATCGTTGACACTGGAAAAATCCGATAATGTCCTGAGAACATAAAAAAGAAAGAATCAGCATTGGAATGCATCACTAGGGCTGCGTGCAAACGGACGCAACAACTCCCAACATTGTTGCGCCAACAATGTTGGGAGTTGTTGCGTGCGTGTTGGCAGTGGTGTGCAAACGGATACAACAACTCCCAACAATTTTGGGACCTGCAGTGTATCGTGGGAAGGATACAACCCATAAGTCTTTGTAAACCATGCGTAATGCGCGTGCGCGGCCCCAACAATATTGGAAGAGCTGTGCAAACGGATCCAACATTGTTGCGCTACGCTTCGGCGATCATGGAACAGAAGAAATGTTGGGAGTTGTTGGCTGAAAAGTTTGACCAGTTTCAAACTTTGCGCAACGACACGCAACAACATCCAACAACATGCAACAGGGTGTGCAAACGGACGTAACATGTAACATCCAATAATGTTGGGAGTTGTTGGCCAACAATGTTGCGTCCGTTTGCACGGGGCTTAGCTGTAAACTGGCGTCTAGAAAGAAAACAGGGACCGCAATGAAACATTTGAGTCAGTCTTATATTACCTAAGACAAGCGAAGAACGAAACATAGCTGGTATATATAGGAAAGCTTTGTTAGACATGAACAGGATATTCATAAAACTTTACTAGTTCATGCTACCCCACCATGGTTTAAAGGAATAAATCATGTTGCTTAGGATGGAGAACTTGCATCTGGGACCTGTGTAAGTCTCATTTACCCAAACTATGTTTGCTCATTTCTCCTATACCGTGAAGAAAATACGGCGAAGAGTAGTTTATTTAGTTTATTATTCATTATAAACGGACAGTGGGCCGTAGAAATGTCAGCCAGATGATGACTTTTCCGAGGTACCAACTTAAACTAAGGCGCTCTCCTTTACTTTTATCTTTTATACAGCAGACTCAAAAAAACCAACAAAGACGGAACAATTACATCTGAACTTTTAATACGCGGCCACTCTCGCGAAAGAAAACAATAAGCCACTTTCTAGAGAGTCACCTAAAGTAAAATTAACTGTGTTAGAGTTTTGATTCATTCAATGAAATAGTGAAAAAATTACAACTCTGTCCTGAGCTGCATGTCAAAGCGTCGTGTTTTTCACAATGTTTAAATTTCACTATCATTACCGTTTAAAGTTCCAAACTAGAATATTCCTGGCCTTTGAAGGTTAAAAAACAATGAAAATAAAATTTCTTGGACAGGAAAGGAAGACGCAAACACGAAATTCAAAGATGCTAAGGCCTAGGCAAAATGTCGAACTTTTCACGAGACGAACCAAACTCTAATTCATCTGGGTCGACCTAATTAAGTTAAGACGGTCGTTTTGGGTCAGACGTCACACTTACGTTGCGTCAAAGGGGAACCAATCAACTGAATCAGATCAGTAATAAATTTTCTCCCGAAAGAGGCTAAATATACATTATCATGATACAAATTTTTAATGTCGTCACATGTAAAGATCGACGTTTGAAGCAGAAGAGCAGGATCCAAACTCATTCAATTCAGACGAACTGAGTCAGACGTCGAACTTTTCATGAACTCAACTCACTTATATAGGTTTGGTTCTTATCATGAAAAGTTCGACGTTGCCTAGGCTTTAGCTCAGTATGTATAGGCTCGTACCTTTTTCTTCCCGGTCTTGGAAATGGCAGTGGTATCTTATTATCTAGGAAAGGAAAATTTTGTCAAATAAGTATAATGAACATGGCATGCGTTAAATTGATTAGGGGAAGTTATGGTGGCTGGCGACCGGTTCCAACTACATTCGAAGCTTTCGTAAGCGACCACCTCGGAAATTGGAAAAACAGGTCGTAACTAGAGCTGGTCGTTTAAAACAGTAGAGGGTGGTCGCTTACGAGAGCTTGAGTCGAGAGGCATTAATGATTTATAAATAAAAAAAAGCAAAAGAAATAATTGTTTAATGAGTGACTTTATATCTGATATACGCACGGCTAAACTTTAAGTCCAATTTTATAGACCATTAGCGCAGAGTGTAGTTTTATTAAAGTGTTGATTTATTATAATAAGACTCTAAGTGGTCGCTTACGAGGGCTTAACAACAAAAGGAAAGTCCCGTTGGGTAATCCCAAAAGTGATCGCAGTCGCTTACGAGAGTTTTTCATTGCAAAGTTTAAGTCACAGTTCAAACGGGGATTCATCAAGGTGGTCTGACTCATGAGAGCTGGTCTCTTACGAGAGTGGTCGCAAGGAAAGCTTCGACTGTATTTCAGCATTCTTACATTTTCTTTACTGGAATCGGTGAATTATATAGGCTCGATTTCCGCCGTCTCCCGGGTCCGGTCTTTGATCCTCCCCGAAGAGAGACGGCTGGACGCGTGACCCGTTGACCTTGTCTGTGACGTAATTGGAAAATTGATAATTCAGGCGTCTTCGATGTCACCGGTGGAAGTGAAACCGGTCTCCAATTTTCTTATTTATTTGGCTCAAAATTGCATCAAGCGCTCCCTTACCCACCCAAATGACTTTCGAAATAGCTTTTTCGGTACACTTTTCCATACATTGTGAAAAATATTCTCCGTTACATTTCTGTACACGGCGACACGTAGTTAATTTTCTTTGATCTTCGAATATTGGTTTCGTCTTCTGTGGGTCCGAACTGACTGATTCTCGGGAGCGGACCAAATTAAATGGAAAAGTTTCTGATTTACCGGACAGAATTTCCAGCGTATTGAATGTTCCTTTGTCAAATATAAACGTGGACGGTTACATCTGTAACGAACGCAGTTATCGAGACTTAAAGCGCCTTGAAAAGATCCTTGAAGAGGCAAAATCTCTCCAACAACAATCATTAAAGGAAACGTTCACAACAAACAATCGAACAAAACGTTGTGTTCCTTCCTACTCTAGAATTTCGTCTAGGGTCTCCAAGCTGTCGAAATCGCTTCGCCATGCTATGGATAAATTTTGTTGTGATAATTTCTGCGACAATCTTTGCCAGACGAAAATCTGCAGGCGGTAACATGATTGGCTTAAACTAACAAAAGAAATCGCACGCGTCCAGCCGCTCTTTCGGGGGATGAGTGAGGGCTCATTTTCCCGAACAGCGGCTGGTAATCGAGCCTATGAATTATAGTGACAAAATAATATGATAAATGATAAATAAAGACTGTGGCAGTGGTTAGCTAGATTTTGTGTAGTTTGTTTCACACAATTTGCACGCTGAAATTGAAAATAAAAGCTTTTTCAGACGACTCACCTGTAATAAGGGAAGTGACATCAAGCGGAATTCTGATAATAAAGTATGGAATTATTGTTAGCAAACTTCATTTCATGAAAGTTAGACTTTATGTATTTTTAAAACGTTGAGGAGAATAAGCTTCTTTTTAGTTGTGTCTTGAAAAAACCTGGCCTTGACTGGAAGCGATGTTGGAAGTGACTTTGCGTAGCTTTGCGTTAATATTATTCCTCAAGTGCAAATCATGTTTTTATGTATAAAATGCATCAAAACAAAGTGACCGCCAGGCCCACTACCCCTGAAAGGCTGCAATGAGGGACAAAAGTGTGGGGACACTTCAACTATAAAATGGCCCCTTTTTTGCATAGTGAACATAACTATCCCCATCCCCTGTGTACCGCCAGCCCTCCCCCTAAAATCAATGTTGTATTTTAGATCTTCAAGTCTTTCTTTTACCACAAACAACATTGATTCGGGGGTTAGGGAATTTATGGCGTTTAAATCGAATTAAATGATAAATGAATGAAATTGTTGTTAAATGAATGCATTTTAGACAAGTGTGTCAACTAATTTTGTCCCTGATTATAAGTTGCTCAGCATACAACTGCATATTAGTTAATTGAGGATAAATAATATGATAGAAATAAACTTACACATTGTGTAATTCGTCCTCTTCTGAATCATCTGTATCAATAGACATATTAATAATTAGTGTCTTTGAGCGTTTTTGTACATATATGGCCATAGCATGCTAATGTAGCAAGTTGTTTTGTGTTAAGTTTCAGAAGTAACAAGGATAACGCAAAACTCTGATTTCATTAGCATCATTGAATTAAATCAATGCAAAGCTATTGTTACGACGGTGATGAAAAGCTTTTGGGGCAATAAGCCATTTTCGAGTTGCCCCCAAGCCTCTGTTTCGAAGCGAGGCAAAGTGCGAAGCCATTGATTAGTTGAAAATGATTAGTTATTCTCATGCAGATAAAATCCATTTTTACAAGAAAGGATTTTTCTCTTAGCCTCGTTTTGAAAGGGAAAGTTTTCCGAACTTGGGGATGGCCTATTAGTATACTCGAAACGAGCAAGGGACTGGGTACGAATGCACTCAGTTTTATTTGGTTGAAAAGTGAATCTGGAAGGTATCTAGAAGGTCGAGAGTTCGATTCTCGCTGGGGACTCGAATTTTTTTCGGAGCATTTCTAAGTTGTACTTAATATCTATTTCTAATTTCATCACTATCGTGTGGTTGGTTGACTTAAAAGTGAAACTACCATTCGAATTAACATTCAAGTCTTATGTAGTTTCGGCGTGATCAGAGAAAAGAAAGTCAATGTTTAATCACAAACTCATAAGGGGTTTCTGGTTTAATTTAATCATTTACTTTTCAAGGGACGCCTGTCGCTCTTCTTACCATGCAAAGCTTCTTTAAATTACGTTTTTTTTTAGTTTAGGTATAAGGTACTAAACTCTCAAATGTATTCAATCGATTTTAGGCAATTGCATCCAGTCTCCTGCTCGTTTAAAACGTGGCTAATTAACACAAAACCATTTTTAAAGGTAATTTAGTTTACGCGCACAACTAGTAGGAAAATGTTTGATAAAATTTGTTGTTGTTGTTGTTGTTGTTGTTGAAAGTGCAGCATGTAAAGCCGTGTCAGATGCCAACACGTCGTTTTGTCAGTTTTTTTGACTTAATTTTGGACGCAAAGTGATTTCAGGTAGTTGCTGCCAGTAAGGAAAGAACTACAAATCTGAGCGTATGACCATCATTGTATAACTAACTTCTAGTTTAAGCCCTTTTCTCGATTGACAAACGCTTTACATAGTGCAATGGTGTCGATAAAACATAAAACAAATATTTTCCCGCAAACCAACTTTACAGAAAATTGTGGAAGTTAAAGCACCTTGAAGTTCTGATCCTTCGTCATTTGCGACGTCATCTGAAAACAAAGTAGAGTAACATAGAGGTTCTGTGAGCCAAAATTTTTCAACATAGAGGTTCTGTGAGCCAAAATTTTTCAAAACAGGACCACAACGTTAACAAAGCTAAGCACATCGTAGATAAACCTTGATCTGGTAGAATAAGAGTGTGTTCATGTCTAGAGCAAGCTAGAGTCATTACCCTATGAATATCCAAGATAGACAAGATGCAGATGCAATAAAATCAAAAATACATTTAACTTCATTTTCTGATTAAAATTGTTTCCTAATGGATAGCACGTAGTTATTTTCATTTTATTTATGGAATAAATAGGTAAAACAGTCAAACTCTGTCAATACGGTCACTGAGGCAGGGGCACCCAACGTCAATTTTCGGAAAAAATTGTTCGGAAGACGATTTAAGATCTCAGATTTTCGGAGCATTTGTTGCAAAATTTCTTGCTTGCCTGCCTCTCCTAGGATTTTCGAACATCTCAAAAATGATATAATTGCCCATTTTTAACGGATTTGTACCCTAAAAAGGCCACCTAGAATTTTCGGGAGCCTTTTTTCTGGCTGAAATTTTCGAGAAGGTAAGTTTTGAGCGCTATAATTTTCGGATCACTAGACTTTCAGCTAGGAAATCTGAACAGATGAAAAATTTTTAGGGAATAAAAATATACCTATATCTACCGTTTAAATACTAAAAAACGTTCAACAATGCTTTGTTTAAGTGCTTTTGAACTATATCCTCGTTGGGTGCCCCTGCTGAGGGGGCCATAGAAAGTGCGCCGCAACAATAAGATGTCCGTATTAAGCAGGTGTTAGTCAAATCCCGCTTGCGGATACCTGCTTAATACGGACTCCTCATTATTACGAGGCACTTTCTATGGGCCCCTCAGTGATGGTATTAATGAGGTTTGACTGTAATTTGGACGACTCTGATGACATGGAGCTAATAGAGAAGGTGTCTCAACACGGAACGTATGAACTAGCTTGACCTCTGTTTTCTTGAATTTATTGACCTTCCAGTAAGATTGGTGGTCAGCTATACATTTGACTACATAAATCAAACTTTACTGTGAAGTTTTATTTTTCCATATCATAAAACTGATGTTAACCTTTCTTCCCTGGCCTCCATTGGTTCTTTCGCAGCTGGGGTTCATCTTCCCGTGTGGGTACTGGAACTGAGAAGCGCGTATAAGTAAAAGCAGTATGGCGACTAAAGTTCCCAAATTGTTCTTGAGTTAGACTATTCAAACCCAAAAGAGTTGTCCGTCATTTGAGCCTGATCCCTCATTAAGGATTTCTTGACTCACAAACTAAGACTAGTCTTAACGTGATACTACACAGCCTTGAAAGCACCTCAAAAAAATGCTGCAGAGTAACTTTCATTTGGATGGAAACAGTCTTAGGAACTTTTTTAGAGAAAAATTAAAATTGCTAGAACGGCGAAATTCAACCTTAAGGGAAGCATATTAATCCTTTCACTCCCACACCAAGTCTTGGATAGATTATTTTTCATAATAACTTTTAAATCGGTGAAAGAAATCCAGTGGTGTTACACTGTTGAAATGAAGCCTCCCAAAGGGTTAATACAAAAGTTAGTACGCTAGCCCAGTACTATTTATAATTCATATCTAAACTAAAAAAACGCATTGCCGCAGGTTAATGAGATGTGGTGCACACAACTCGAGAAACTCCAAAGCCTTTATCATGCATTCTCTATAAACTTCCCTTGTGCTTTCACTACTCTTTATACGCACGCTAAACATGAACCAGTTCTTAGCCCTTAAACTCCCAGAAGTGATTTGCACGTTAATTCTCCTTAGAATATCTAATACAGATAACAGATAGGTGGTGAGAATAGGCAAATTTATCTGCCAGAGGATGTTATATTGATAAAACCCCAAAATCCCTTATTTAACATCCAATAAAATGAATAGTGGTGGAAAGGAGAATTAATAATCAGATCTCGAAAGTTTAAGGATTAAAATACTCACCTCCATATGTTAAAACAACCAAAACCCCTATGATCAAGATAACTTCAAGGCCTCGCATTATGACTGATTCAGTTCTGTAGAAATAAAGGAGTATCTTAGAAGAGGATCTCAATGGGGTTAACCGTTAGCCGTCACAAAAGGTGTTTTTTACCGTCAACCGTCAAAATAGTTTCAAAGTATTTCAAATCTCACTTTTTAAGTTGATGAGATGCCGGCTCCTGAAGAATCTCTAAACTGGAGAAACCAGTTCTCATGTTCTCAAAAAGACTGTTTCTAGACATTACCTACCCTAGTCCCAGAGGTTTTTCTTGATTTTTCTTCGTGAAAAAGATCAACAGCAAGCCGCGAAGCGGCGACAACGAGTCGCGAAAGAGACGAGGAGAGAGAGAAAAACCTCTGGTTACTTTGGCCTCGAATCTCACTTTCATGCAGACGACAGCTGTCAAACGCGTCAAATTGCTAATAAAAAGAGTGACCAATGGCAATTTAGCAAACACGTGCTTATCAGCCGCTATTTTTTTAAGTGGGGGTAGACCTGGGGAAATTATGTTCTCCACTTGGGTGGTAAAGAGTGATTTGTTAATCGGGGTCAAGCTAGAGCATGTGTTAACGATGGGCGACAAGAGTCCAGGAATAAGAACACCGCTTTATAAAGACACCAACCAACAACAGGACAGACAACCAAAATTATTGCATGGCGAGGGTATGAGTAGCCTCTTAAGGAAAGGTACTTGCAAACATCAGGTGACGACTATAATATTATATACTTTCCATGTCCTGTTGATAAAATGGTGAACACATCCTTTCGACTCAACGCGGCAAACAAAGCTTTCTTTTGTTGCTCATTGAGACTCAGGAAAGCGCTCATCAAGTACCGTGGTCAAAATTTTTTCGAATATTCTTTCAGGAACAACATCCATGTCAAAATCTCGAAATATGGCGTGCCTTTACTTGCCTTGGTCCCGTGCAAATGTTATTGCGAGTGCAGCATACAAACAATTTTCTTCCCTGGTAGAGAGAGGCAAAATGAGGTGTGAAAATCGTCAGCGTCCCCTCGGTAGTTACAATTAAACGAGCTAATCAAATTGGTTTGCCTGTTTGAAAAAATATCAACCAATCAACGGCCGAGGGTCAGATCCTGACCTTGTCGTCTGCATGAAAGTGAGATTCGAGGCCAAAGGTAAACCAGAGGTTTTTCTCTCTCTCCTCGTCACTTTCGCGACTTGCTCTTGATCTCTGTCGCGAAGAAAAATCAAGAAAAACCTCTGGGACCAGGGTAGACATTCCCAGACCTTACAAGTAATTTTATATTATGTAAAAGACCAAGTCAACCTCCAATATCAATTCATACAGAAGTTAAGATCTACCACGACCGTCAAAAGCTGTAGAATTTAACCGTCAACTGTCAAAATTGGAAAAAAACAATTGTTGACCGTCAAAGCTACCACACCCCGTTGAGACCCTCTTTTCAAAGCACGAATGTGTGTAATTAAGCTGACTGTCAACAAAGAGGCTTAGACATACAGCGAAAAAGTCCAGCAGCTGTCATTTATTTGTCACTTCTAAATAAGTATAGGTAATAGCATGGTTTGTAGTGATATTTGGCATAAATACCGCGAGTGATGTTTCTTAATTGTTACACGTAATTTCACGAGCCGTTAGGCGAGTGAAATTTAAGACAATTTTGAAATATATCACGAGTTGCATTTATGCCAAATATCACGCACAGATCATGCTATTATTAATTTGTTTATACTACTACCCGCAAACACTTTGTAATTTTCACATGTAGGTGTTTCAAATTAAGCTGAAATACCACTGCTCTGAGCCAATCAAATTGCAGAAATTTCTCATGTAGTAGTATAAGTTGAATTATTAAGTTTTATTGAAATATTTTTTAAAACGTTTTAGAATTAAAATAATTGAGCGATCTAAAGTCAATAAATTATTCGATGAATGGATGGTTGCATTAATCAGGACGCTATATAAAAGAAAAAGGGGTGATGTCTCAAAAGTCTTCTACAAAAGTAATTTTAGGGATTGCCATAAAATTTCTTTCATGATAAACATTAGTGTTGGTTCAATACGGAAGTACAGTCTTTCAAAAATTCCTCTTCTTCGTTCAGTATTGCCGTACTTTTGAATTCAAATACTCGAATATCATTCATCGAATAGAGCAGTATTTAATCACAATACATTACACTGAAGACGTAGGTTGACAGCTGTTTTTTTTTGCTTTTTACTAATATAATGATCAAAGCGTGGTTTAAGATATATCCGGGCAAGAATTTTTTGAAATGTTCGCCAAGGCTTGGTTGTAAAACGGCATTATTTTAGCCAACAGATGTGTATGAACTGTGGTTCAAACTTCGTTTTGAACAAAATATTTACCTCCAGAAAATAACGCTCGAACTTTATTAAGGCAAGTTGAGTAGTATTTTCTTCACAATTCTTTTACTGAGTACGGTGTACGCATTAATCTCATTTCTGTGTTTTCAGAATGACAAAGCCTTTGTTGGCGGGGAAAAGATCATATTATCACTAAGAAAAATGATTTTTTTTTCCACTGCTAGCAAAAAACTCTCGAATTTCTTGTGCTTTGATTTAAAAAAGCCTAAAAAAATCACAAGTTTTGTTATAGTCGTGATTAATTGGAAAAGGAAACTTCGTGTCGTTCAATTCGGCCTGTTATCATACTCGTGATTAAACAAATCAGACTCCACTCAGTCCTATTACCATTATTAATTCTTTGTTGAGAGGATGTGGCATGGAAATTAAAAAACTGGGATAATTTACCCCATCATCACTGAAAAAACAATGGCGTATTTTGCATTTGAGGCCCAAATAACTAAGTTATTCTTGCCATCTTATTAATTAGATCATCTTGGTTTTAAAAACTTATCGCTTTACAAACTTATTAATAAACAAATATTTAACAGTCAAGAAAACTTTACGTGGTCTCTATGATTTTAAAAGTCCGTTTTTAGTTCGAATTTTTCGTGCGAAATTCAAAGCAAGTCATATAACGTTTTAAAAGCTATGTAGAAAATGGTTAAGCATTCATTATTGCATAAAATTTCATTCAAGGTAAGATAATGATGACATATTATTGACATTTTAACCAGCCATTCAAAACTTTTTAATTACATTGATTTATTTTCGCCTCTATGACAACAAATGATATGAAGTCTGTCGCAGGGTCAATGGGAATAATTAAGTTTTTTTTTTCCTATGACCTGACTTTTTTGACGTCGCTCAATATGAGTAAAGTATTTCTAAGTCGGTTTCATTTATTTTTTGGAGAGTTTGCTGAGGGTACGTCAGCAGTGAAAGTTAAATTAAAAAAAGAGCAATAAGATATCACGAGGTCATAACTTTTGAAAAAAATCAGTTCGAAAAAATTTATTTTACCTTGCAAAATCTTGAACAGTTCTGAAGGCGCAGTAGTTGCAACTAAAATGTTGTAGAAACATTTATAAATACAAGGATAAAGTAAAAAAGTACAATATAAAAAAAAAACAGTCCTTTTATGAAATTCTAGTCAAGTACTGCTTCTTTTTTTCTCATCACTCGATTTCTTTGCTTTCAACCTGGCTAAAAATTATCCCCATTTTAAAAATGTGAAAGTCTAGAAAAAGAATTTTAAGAAAAGAGAAAAATGTTGCCCAAAAGAAGACTGCGAACAGCCTCTTATTTTTTTTGGAAACACATTAGATGAGTAATTTACTTTTTCGCTCACCGTGCGTGGCTCAGAGGAAAGAAGAACGACCACTCGCGGTCTAGCTCAAAAGCGTTGATTAAAATGTTTTAAACTTTGGCTTTCACAGGTCATTTTAATCCATAGACTTAAGAGCTAAAATCACCCTTTGCTATGAAAGTTATAGTAAGCTCTTTTAAATAAAAATGTTGGAATGGCACAATGCTCTTTTCGAAAATCACCAATGTCTTTGATTCATCCACAGTGTTCCAGACTCAAAGCGACAAACTCAAGCCTTCCTTTAACAGTATAGTGTAATGCCCACTAACGCTCAGAGCAATAGTCATAAGTTGGGAATTTACCGTTATGGAAAAGTTAGGGCAAAATTTTGCTCATTGCTTGAGTGGCTTATTTTAACTGAAAACTCGACTGCTTTTATTTGGTTGAGCGTAAAACATGCCGAAAAGCTGTTTGCTCTTTTTTCTCTTACCTTTTAACGATGTTGTCTTTACCGCTGTTACTTTCGCGTCTTAATAACTCAATACTACTCACTAAGGTGCAGCCTCTTAAATAACCCCATAGATAGGAAATACGATAATTATTGCCTTCCAGCGGCACATTGCGTGTTGATTAAGTCGAAGCTTATACAATTGTCTCCATGGTCAGATGCAAACAGAAGGGACGCCCATTTACTCAGATCGGAAAACGCGACAGTCGCATAATAACCGCCCATGTCTTCCGTCATTCTACACATTGTTGTTTGTATTTCAGACGTAAGGAAGGAAGGGAAAAAACGTCTAAAGCCTCAAAATATAATTACTTCAAGAGACAATCAATATTTCAATCAAGCTGATAGCGTTGTTCATCATACAACCGGTAATTAGTAGAGCTGCCTGCAAGGTAGTCTTAAGCCGGAACACGTTGCACTGATTTTACATTTGAAAAGCCTCAGCGTTAATTTTCACACTCAAGTCAATTCCATCGTATTCTTCATGTGGTATTTATCCTTCCAAGAAGAAAACATTGCCTTCCAAATGTAGATATCAGTATTGTCTAGCATCCTGATTTGAAATTAAAGTTTAAAAATGTTGTCAAGTATTTTAGCTCAGTTATAATCGTTTATGATAAAATAATATTCTCACACCTCCAATAAACTGTTAATCAAAATGGTATCAGCTAACATATATTTTTTTTACCCTTGAAAACTTTATGCTATTCTTGTTTACCATCATTCTTTTTTAAAACTGCATCAAAAGTATGACGATGAACTTTTCTATCTCATAACCGTTTTTGCTAAAATAATATCACTCACCCATCAAATAAACCGTTAATCAAATTGGTATCAGCTAACATATTTTTTT